CAGGTCACAGGATAGTCTAATATTTCAAAGGTTGTTGTATAGAGTAGAATTTTGGCATTTCATTTACCGTGCCGTTTTGCGCTGCACAATTATTTAGTTTAGTGTGCTTCTTGTGCTGTTTTTTCGGTGTGCATTTCACTGTTTTTGGCGTGAATTTTTTCTGTTTGTTGGTACAGTCAGGAGGATGCAGTTTTTGTGGGTGTTTTCTTGTGTTTTATTTGCTAGGGAGGAGGACCTAGGCTGCTGAACTCTCTCTCAAGGGACGTAGGTGGGTTGGGGTTAGGGTCAGTTGTAGATGTTTTGAGGTCTGTTTTTTGTTGTTGTTATTTTGTTGTTGTTGGTGTTTTGCAATTTGTGTGTGTGAAACTCTGTGTGCAATCAGACACTTGCCAATTGGGGTACGGGGGCAGTGGCCCTAAAAAGGGCCAATCATTCTAGATTTATACTGGTGGGTTTACGCATGAATTGACAATCAGAACAATTTTACACGTCAGTAGGTCTGGAGAGAGGTCAGAATGTGGCGCCTGTTGTTGTAGCAGCAGCAGTAGAGACGGCAATATGGTTCTTCTGGGGGTTAGAATGCAACAATGTCGGCCAGAATGGTTGCAAACACGTGGCGACCCGCATATTCAGCGCGTCTATGCCACAGAAATTCACACATGTAAGACACTAATAAGTGTCTGTGCATGCCATTCTGATGCTTGTTTCTCTCCTTTGCTGACCTCCACATGGGCTCGATGCACTGCGTATGTGCACCTGTGCTAGGATCAACAAAACTGATGGAGTGATTGACGGTGAGATGCGTTAATCCAGGAATATTCTCAATTTCATTGTACGCGCGCCACATGGCGGAGACCACTGTCGTGCCAGGTCTGATGTTTGTGCTAATGATCAGAGGAAGCATCTCTGCTGTTTGTTTCCGCCTCGCAGAATGTGATCAAGTTCAACAGTGGCGCTCTCTTCACCCATCACTGCAGCAGACGCTGATGCTGCTAATTCAAGGACATTCATGGCAATGAAGACTGAACACACAAGTCATCCCTGGAGAGATGACGCTGCAACGCAAATCGCTGCAGAGATGCCAGAAACACACCAAAACCTTGAAAACGCTTGACAACGCCTTGGAAGACACAGACAGCATAAAAGCCCATTCTTACCACCCTCGAAAATTGTGGACTGTCCCGTGAATGTCATCTGTGGTGAATTATTGGGAATGTACCAAAATCTAAACACAATAAAGCAGTTAATACAATGGGTAAACAGGCAGTTACTTTTGAGTTCAGTTGATTTAGTATTTCATTTAGAAGAATTCATCTATTTCATTGTGCTCAGTTGTTACTGTCATGTGCACCTGTTGAGAAACAACTAATCTGCCAGACAATTTACTGTGCAATCTGTGGTCTGTGTCTTCTTTGTTCATAAAGACAATGAGGGACATACTGATTTATTTTAAGAAACATTTTATGGATTTCACCATGAATGGTGATTTATGTCTGAAACACTTCATGTATTTCATCACGAATGTAGGTCTATATCTGAAACACTTTATGCATTACATTATGAATGTGTGGTCTATGTCTGAAACACTTTATGTATTACATTATGAATGTGTGGTCTATGTCTGAAACACTTTATGTATTACATTATGAATGTGTGGTCTATGTCTGAAACACTTTATGTATTACATTATGAATGTGTGGTCTATATCTAAAACACTTCACGTATTACATTATGAATGTGTGGTCTATGTCTGAAACACTTTATGTATTTTATCATCAGTATAGGTCTATGTCTGAAACACTTCATGTATTTCATCGTGAATCTGGGTCTATGTCTAAAATACTTTCTGTATTTCATCATGAATGTGGGTCTATGTCTGAAACATTCCATGGATTTTATCATCAGTATAGGTCTAAGTCTGAAACACTTTACGTATTAAATCCTGAATGTGGGTCTATGTCTGAAACACTTCCTGTATTACATCAAATAGCAGCCTATGTCTAAAACATTTCATGTATTTCATCACAAATGGGGTCTTATGTCTTAAACACATCATTTTTTTCATCACAAATGGGGTCTTATGTCTTAAACACATCATTTTTTTCATCACAAATGGGGCCTTATGTCTTAAACACTTCATTTTTTTCATCACAAATGGAGAGAAAGGGGGTGGGGGGTTGCCGCTATGTCTAAAACACTTCATGTAAGAAGGGGATTCAAAGGAAAACATTAAAACTGTTAATTAAAGTAAACATGTCACTGTCTTACAAACTGTCAACACTGTTCTTAAGAATATAAAAAGTGGGGCGGCCATCTTTAAACTGTTAGGACTTCACCATGTTGGTCTGCACTATGTTAATCTGCCCTGTGATATCACCATCTTAACACTCCTGACATCCTTAACAACCATACAGACAGGTCAGAAGACAATGGCACGGCTACTGTAATTTCTATCACATTTTTTAGTTTTTTATTTGCAGCTACCTCATATTTCATCATAATTATGGGAAACGGGAAAGGGAAGCCTGCGTGTTAAAATAGTCAATCCAATTTCCTTGTGTTCTGAACTTCATGGTATCTGTTTAATTTGGTTTTCTTCGTGCGGGTGGGGTGGGGGTGGGGGGGGGGGGTATTGACGTAACTGGGTCATGCTTGTTTACAGCAGTTGTGTTAATTCCACCTTCCAGCCGACACGCCCTTCTTTGGGCATTTCTTCTCCGTACTGGCCTTCAGGGTTAGCTTCAATCAGTTCACTGGTGAGATTTTTTTTTCAGGGTTGTCATCACAGGCATGATCTCAACAAACAAGTGGGAGTCATTCTGCAGACAGGCTGGGCCTGGTGGAATATAACCTGGCACAATGGGCATGGCAGTTTCATGTTTCATTGTGAATGAATAAGCCAGAATTCTTCCCAAACAAACATTTTGGAAATTAACATAGAGCTTCCATAATTAATGCATAAACAGTTCATAATAAAAACAGAATAGCAAGCAGTGGATGATACAAATGTTGAGTAAAGTAAATGAAATGTTTGCAGGGCTTTTTGTTTAACCTAGAAAAATTGGTGGGTACACTGGATTGAAGAACAACAAAATTATGTCAGAACCTCAGTTCTTGAACTTAATTCATTCTTAAAAATTGTTCAGAAACAGTTGTTTGAAAACTAAAACTATTTTCCCCAAAAGAATTAATTTAAAATTTATTAATTTGTTTCTCAACTCTAGACAACTGCTTATTCATTTGATCCTTTCTAATAATACTCTAACATTGCCACACACAAAAAATAATGAAATTGTATGCCATCATTTAAAAACAAAACATAACGAAAAGTTAACTGTCAACATAAAACTAATTCTTCTTATCTGTACAAAGACGGTCTGAATTCGTAAGTAAATGTTTACGAGAAAGGTAAAGTTAAGAAATATTAATGTAAAGTAAAAAGACCGTTTTAACACTTGTGATGTGCGTGGTATATGATGCTAGTCAGCTAAACTCACATTTATATATAGATCAGTCGACACTTAATGGCTGATGAGGTCTACACCACACTGGTCACCTTTACTTCCCAGAGAGACACATACAGGTTCATCGAAAATGATTGCAATGATTTTAAAGTATATTTAACGGATATATACATTTGGCGTCTCAATATATTCAGAAAAGTTTGGTTTCAGACTCACCTTAGTACACTTTACTATGGGTGCCATTTGTAGCTCTGGGGATGCATAGCAAACCACAACCTTCTGCCACATCTTCTGAATCATGTCCATACCTACTACTGCAACTGTTGCAGCGATCCTCTCTTTACGGTGCAGGGTGTTCCTTTTTTTCTCCCTACAATTTTAAACCTCAGGGTCACACAACTTTAAACTTTTTAGGGCATTTTAAGATGCCACATGTGTTATCCATTTAATACTTTTTTTTTTTTTAAACAGTTTAAAATCTCAAATATTCTCAATAACCCTGTCTAGAAATGGAATCTTCTGCCATAAAAACACTAGATTACTTTCATTACAGGGTATTTTCTTCTTCTTTTGTTTTTCACTAGCTGTAAACTCCAGCACAAGACAGTTCTAGTTGTGTGTCCACTTCTGGACTTTAGTCTTGTTCAAAAACTTGATTTCTGAGTGCATATCCATTTTACAGATCTGGCTTATTTGTATGCAGACTGTTAGTTCCTTGTCTCTCAGGCGGAAGCATTCTGACTTTGAAGGTAACATCCCTAATTAGTCATCTTTTTCAATATGCTTATTTGGGGGGGTAATGGGTCTCTCCCCGGAGAAGGGAGTCAGTCATTCAAGAACTGAGGCTGCAATGCTGCTATTTTTTATTTTCTTTAGTTTCAAAAATGCTGTAATTTTTTTTTTATTCACACACCACAGATTTATCCTGATATTAAAATGAATAAAAATGTATACAGTGTACACAATAAAATAAAATTTTAAAGAAGGTGGGTATATGAGAAATCCCCAAGTATTCCCAGAAAAAAAAACTTGAATATGTCAGTTCACCAGCAGAATGCATTGACAAATGAGTAGAGTGAAGTATATATTGTTTAGCAGTTTCAATGTCGACAATGAGCAAGGGTACATAAAAACCTGAAAGCACATCATTATATGCATCTTCATGCAAGCAACAAAAGTCACAACACTCCAGCTTTTTCTTCATCTGCTTATCTTTTTCCTCTTCTTCTTTGTTCATCCAATTTTTGTTTTAGACATATCTGTGTTGTGCCTGCTGTATTTGTGCTTTTCAATCAAAATATCTGACTTTTTTCAGGCGTTTGTCATCAAGGATGGCCTTCCAGTAGACGAGCTCTACACGTCACACATTTTCTCTGAAGTCTTTTCTAAAATACTTTGTGGTTCTATCAGGCAACATGTACAACATGCCATACTGTCTGAGACAAATACAAAAATAAACCAGTTTGCAACATGTCACATAAATAAGCTCACGTATAAAACAAAGCTGTAAAAGTATTATGAGTATAAACAATATCACTAAACATACACCGAAAGTAAATCCTCAGAGTCATCTTTTTCATGATCTTTATCTGCGCCTGCTGATTGCTCATCCTCCACAGGAAGCACAGAGTGGGCGTCTTCCCAGTTGTCGTCGGAGGTTGCAGTCTCATAGGCATCATTAATCAAGGCACTTGAAGCAATGGCACCACAATCACCATCCTCCTCATCATCACCATGATGACTGCTTGTGTTCGTGATCTCAATCTCTGGTGTGCTGCTGTGACGTTCACATCGGGGCATGCTTGAAGCAAGGCTGCCATAGGATGACTGTTTCTCAGATACAACATGTCTTCTTAAAGAATACTCCACGCCAACTGCTTCCGACTCCACAGAGAATTCTGGGGATTTAGCTCCAGCTGCAGCAATAGAAGATGCCTCTGGCGAATGCTTCATGGCTTTGGCTGTAGAATCACCTGGATTTGTGCTGCTGCAGAAGACTGGCCTCGCATGTGTGTGCCCCTCTGAGTTCTCTGTCTGTATTATGTCTTGGCAACTGTTCCCAGACATGTCAATTGTTTTATCACAGGTTAATCTGCCATTGCTAGTATCATCTATAGCTATACACATCTCGGTGTGTTGCTGGAGTGGTACATGAGCAGGCCATATACCTAACGCTCTGTTGTCATTAAGTCTGAACTCTGAGGACATGGGATCTATGTTCTCATTACAATTGGACCCTAGAGAATTACTTCTATAAGTAAATTTTTCTGGAAATTCATGAGCAGATACTTCAGGATCATTCATGTTGTGGACATCTGCAATTTCTTCTTTACGTGAGCTGTATGATTTATGTACATCTGTAACAGATAATTTCCTGTTAACATTGTTCGAATCAAGTACACTGAGAACCTTTTCTGTAGAGACAGCCTCACTTCCTGCTACAGGCAGCTCCTCTGACTTATCTGGCATTTCGTCTCCTACTGTCCAGTCATCTCTTGGTAACTCATATACAAGTGTATTCTTGTTTATAGGCTGACTTTGGCACTGGGAATCTTTGGTATCACTTGTGTTTGTTTGAACAATGATGCTGACAGTTTGCTGTTTCATGTCCCCCTTGTCATTGTTCTTGGTTGTGGCAGAGGTATCTTGACTTAGTACAGGCAATGGTGACTGCATTCCCGCCAACTTTTCAGTCATCTCCGGAGTCGCAGCTAAGCCACATGAACTTGACTCTGCTTCCCGAATGTGGGAATGGGCATTGGCTCTCGCCTGTAGCAGTTTGTCTGCAATCTCCAGTTGAGATGCTGTTCCTGAATCCTCGTCCTGATTTAGAACTTCAGGAAAGGAAACATCTTGTGCTGGTAAATCACCCACAGTGTACAGTTTATCATCTGAGCTATTTTCACAGCTTCCTTCCTCATCTGATCTAAGGTCATGCAGTCTGGAAGAAAACTGACCATCCTCAAGCTGGCTTTCTCTGCCAAATGAACCATGTTCAACAGGAGAACCCACATCTGCAAATCTTTCTGTTGTTTCTGCTTCCAACCGTCTACTCCTTGCCTGAGATGTCCCAGTTGAACTAACACCACATGCTCCTTGCCATGAGCTGTCTTCCAAGGTAAGTGGCCTTCTGGCATGCCCTCGCCCGGCATTTAGATCATCTTTATGTCCAGAACAGGCCACGTCTCCTCCCCTGCCCTCTGCATCCCAGGCTGCAAAAATGGATGCCAAATCCTTCCTGAGAAAATCAGTGGTCTTATCACTTTCATCAGAGTGAATATTGGACACAGAAATATCCTTGATGGCCCCAAACATGGATCCTATAAATTCAAAATTTTTGACAACTGATGAAAAGGAAGACAGATGTTCTTCATCTGATGTGGCTAGTAATGGGCTTGAAGGATGCGACTCTGCCACCTCACAGCTACCATCTGAAGTGGCACTGTCAACAGAATCTGACGGCAGAACTCTGGGGTTGTTCAAAACACTTGCACTCAATGAGCCTGTAGCTTCAGGAGGTTCTTCTTGGCCAGGGACATCTTCTGATGGTGACGGTTTTGAAGCCTGGTCAAGACAGTAGAGGTCTTCCACACTTTTGTTAGGAACCCGAGGGACTACTGTGGACCGGCACTCATCAAAACGACTGGACTGCTTCAGCTTATGACAATGGTGGCTTTTGGATTTGACCAGTGACCTGACCCTCTCACCGTCGGTCTCATCTTGTTCACCTACAGAAAGATGGGGATAAATTAGCAGGTATGTTTGCAGGGATAAAAATCTGTGAACAAAGTATTGCATTTTTTAATGTATAAGATGCTACTTATTTTTCAGCACAAAATTCAGAAATGAATATTTTGAAAGTTAAGGTGTCTAAGACAACCCCCAATTTTAATCTTTTTAATGACCCTCCATATAAGACGACTCCCAATTTTAATTTTTTTGATGGCCCTCCATATAAGACGACTCCAAATTTTTATCTTTTTGATGACGCTCCATATAAGAGGACTCCAAATTTTTATCTGTTTGATGACGCTCCATATAAGATGACTCATAATTTTAATCTTTTTGATGACGCTCCATATAAGAAGACTCCAAATTTTTATCTTTTTGATGACTCTCCATATAAGACGACTCTCAATTTTAATCTGTTCTTCATCCCTGGCCTTAATTAGTCTCAGAAATAATTTGAGAGGCAGCAGTTATGGGTTATCCTGAATGGTAGGACATTTTCAAATTTCACTGATCAGCTACCGCCTGCCTCAAGCTGGACAGCTAACAGCCACTAAGGTGTTGATCTGCCACAGCCTGTGTGCTTCAGTGGATGGTTGGAGCAAGGACAAAATCTGAATGGTCTTTTACTTGGTACAGGGACTTTCTGACGTCTGATTACTTTTAAAAGGGACATTCCCACATCCGATTACTTGGGACAAGAACATTCCCACGTCTGATTACTTAGGGCAAGGATATTTCCACATCCTATTACTTGGGACAGGGACATTTCCATGTCTGATTACTTGGGATAGAGAGATTCCACATCTGATTACATGGGATAGGGACATTCCAATGTCTGATTGCTTGGGAGGGGGACATTCCACATCTGATTACTTGGGTTGTGGACATTCTAATGTCTGATTACTTGTGACTGGGACATTGCCACATCCGATTACTTAGGACAGGGACATTCCTCTGTCTTATTACTTGGGATGGGGACATTCCGCATCTGATTACTTGGGATAGGGACATTTCCATGTCTGATTACTTGGGATGGGGACATCCCCATGTCTAATTACTTGGGATTGAGAGATACCACATCTGATTACATGGGATGGGGACATTCCCATGTCTGATTGCTTGGGAGGGGGACATTCCACATCTGATTACTTGGGTTGGGGACATTCTTATGTCTGATTACTTGTGACTGGGACATTGCCACATCTGATTACTTAGGACAGGGACATTCCTATGTCTGATTACTTGGGATAGGGACATTCCGCATCTGATTACTTGGGATAGGGACATTCCGCATCTGACTACGTGGATGGGAACATTCCCATGTCTGATTACTTGGGATAGGGACATTCCACATCTGATTACTTGGATGGGAACATTCCCATGTCTGATTACTTGGGATAGGGACATTCCACATCTGATTACTTGGAATGGGGACATTCCTATGTCCAATTACTTGTGACTGGGACATTGCCACATCCGATAACTTGGGACAGGGACATTCCCACATTGGATAACTTAGGAGCGGGACATTCTCACACCTGATTACTTGAGACATCTAAAACTACAGAACAGAAAGTAAAAACATCGTTTACACAATAAATATGTCTTTTCAAAGAAAGTTGGTCAGTGTTGTTAGTGTGTCTCCTCACCAAGACAATGGTCTATGTTAAGTTCTTGCTAATGCCAAGTTGTTTTCCCAACTAGTACAGTTCCTATGGGCTGTGAATATAGTTTCACAATCATCAAGTACTGGGACCGGAAGTCACATTAAGGCAATTTGGCAGCAAAACTGCTTTTTATTAATTTTAACAACGGTATGGGGTGGTTGTATGACATCATTAAGAAAGCAACGCCAAACTACTAAATGTAAAGTTACTTTAAGTAAAACCATTAATTTAAAACAACATATACCTCGTGTCCGTAAAGTCATGGTGCACTTTTGACGTATATACACATGAAAAGTACACAATGACTTTACAGATAAACAGAATATGTTCTAGAGGTGATTTGATTTCTGTCATTCTGTCAAGGATGCTACTTTTCAAAAGATTTTGAAGATTTTTGTCCTTAATAGGGCGGCTGGCATGCTGAGGTTATTTTACAGCTAGGCTGCAATATCTGTCCATGTCAGTCCTACATCCATTCTCAGCAAACCCCTGAACAGTTGCTAGTAAAGGGGCAGTGGGTCTTTCTTTCTTCCCCCAAAATGGGGCCCCAGAACGCAAACAGGGAATTTAATAGTTTAATTGTAATATTTAGAGGTTGTCCAGGATTCGGATTTTAGATTTTCCAGAAAATTATCTCTAGGAAAGCCAGATTACAGTTCATGAGTTTGATAGTTAAATCTTGATATTTAGAGGTTGTCTAGGATTCAGATTTTAGATTTTCCAGAAAATTATCTCTAGGAAAGCCAGATTACAGTTCATGAGTTTGATAGTTAAATCATGATATTTAGAGGTTGTCTAGGATTCAGATTTGAGATTTTCCAGAAAATTATCTCTAGGAAATCCAGATTACAGTCCATGCGTTTGATAGTTTAATCTTGGTATTTAGAAGTTGTCCAAGATTCGGATTTTAGATTTTCCAAACAATTATCTCTAGGAAATTCAGATTACAGTTCATGAGTTTGATAGTTTAATCTTGATATTTAGAGGTTGTCCAGGATTCTGATTTTAGATTTTCGAGAAAATTATCTCTAGGAAAGTCTGATTACAGTTCATGAGTTTGATAGTTTAATCTTGATATTTAGAGATTGTCCAGGATTCGGATTTTAGATTTTCGAGAAAATTATCTCTAGGAAAGCCAGATTACAGTTCATGAGTTTAATAGTTTAATCTTGATTTTTAGAGATTGTCCAGGATTCAGATTTTAGATTTTCCAGAAAATTATCTCTAGGAAAGCCAGATTACAGTTCATGAGTTTGATAGTTTAATCTTGATTTTTAGAGATTGTCCAGGATTGGGATTTTAGATTTTCCAGAAAATTACCTCTAGGAAAGCCAGATGACAGTTCAAGAATTTGACAGTTTAATTCTACATCGAAATGATTCTGTCTTTATGGCTGCCTTGGTTAAAACAGGCAGCTATGTTTGATTGTTGTTGAAATTGTACTTCAGTTATAAAGGATTCACTTATTAGCGTCATTTATGTTATTGTTACTGTAGTATGCACCTGACGAGATACAGCGAAATATGCCAGGCAATAAATTGTGCAATCTTATGTTTGTGTCTTCTTCGTTCAAGTATAATTCTTATCATCTACAGACTGTCCAGGATTCAGATTTTAGATTTTTCAAAAAATTACCCACCTCTAGGAAAACCAGATGATAGTTCATGAAATCTCTGAAGCTCGATGTCTAGCTCTTTCATGGAACTCAGCTCCGAAGCTCTATTTTTTAATTTAGCGGCCTGGCCAGCACTGTTTGAGCGAGGTCTGTGTCTGTAGCTCTGACTACGGGTCTCCACGTTCTTGCTGACAGTTGACCTAGTGGAAAAGTATATATATATATATATATATATATATATATATATATATATATATATATATATATATATAAACTGCTATGACTTAGTTAATTGTATACCTTATAACGCCAGAGTAACTAACAACGATTGCTTAAAGAAGCTTATGAAAGTAGATCTCTATATACAACAATAAGAAAGAGACAAACACTGCTCTTTGCCCACACAATGAGAACAGAGACATTGGAGAACATCGTGACAACTGGAAAGATCAGTGGGAAAAGGGGCAGAGGCAGACCAACAGATATGATGCTTGAAGGGCTGAAACGATGGCATGGAGGGATATCATCAAGAGATGTGTTACAGGCAACCAGGGATCATGATCTGTGGAAACGCATGAGCGCCTATGACAGTTAGCAGGGCACATGATGATGATGACTTAACTTAATTTCTCAAATGTAAAGGAAAAACACCTGACGACCTTCTGAAATCTCTTTTCATATCTTTACCAAAAACGCCTGGTGCAGTGGAATGTGAAGAACATTGAAGAATTAGTTTAATGAGTCCTGTAGCTAAAGCATTAATTTAATGATTCATTGGAACAAGTGAAACTCACTGCTGAGCATCAGGAGATTCTGAAACATGTAGAAGTCCATTGTCCCTCAAGTACTGGAGTCTGGACATCTCCAAGGCTCTCAGCAACTCCATGTGTTCATCCAGAATTATTTCTGACAGACCTGCATGCAGAAGTCTTCTTTTGTCATAAATGCTTACCAACAAAAATTACATTTTCAACACAGGAAGATTGCATTCAATATATGAGGGAAGGTCAATAACTAAATCACAAATGATTCTTTAAAAAAAAAAATTACAGGTAAGAACAACTTGAAAGCCATTTATTTTTTACACATACTCTGTCCCTTAATTTTTTAACATAATTTACACCAAAATTGATGCACTTGTCCCACCGTTTCAACAGTCCTCTCTAACCTGCTGCATAAAACTGTGTGCTCCATTTTCTAAACGACATTTTTACTTCACATTCATCTTCTCCACCCGCTGCACGGATGCATCTGTTGAATAAACATTTGTCAGCATAAACAGGAAGCATTTCCTTATGAATGTCCTTTGCAGGCAGCTCTTTTGCCCCCCACCCCCCAAAAAAACCACAATGGCACATTGTTCTTTGAGGGTACACTCTGTAAGTACAGTCGCCATTCGTTTTTGTGTTAGTGATTTATTGATTAGAAAGGATTATCATCACAGCACTCTGGACAGATCCATAGGTACTCCGATCTCCTCCTCAAAAGCTCCACATGTGTAAAAAGACTGGTGATGCCTGTTCACGAAATGTCTCCCACCCAGGTGCGTTTTGAGTGGACCAAAAAGGTGGAAATCACTAGGGGCTAAGTCGGGCCTGTAAGGTGGATGTTCCAGAAGTTCTGTGGTTAATTTTTGCCTGAGTTGACCAAGCCGTATGTGGTCTGGCATTGTCATGAAGGAGCAGTACTCCTGGAGTCAGCAGGCCTGGACGTTTTCTTCTAAATGCTTCATGAAGCATTGATAGCACTTTTTAAAAATTGGTTTAAAGCACTCCTTGACAATCTCAGAACACTTTCAGCATAACCTTCCCTTCTAATGGCGTAACCTTGAATTTTTTAACACATTGCATTGAAGCACGCTTTGACTCGGGCTGGTAGTGATGTACTGATGATTCATCTCCAGTGATAATCCTGTTCAGCATGTCTTCTCCTTCATATGCATATTGACAGAGATGCTGCAAGGACAGGCCTAATCGGTTCATTTAGTGTTTGTCCGTCAATTGTATGGGTACAAACCTTGAGCACACTTTCTTAAATTTCAATTGACCATGCCTTATGTTGTATGCTGAACCATGTGAGCACTCTATTGCAGCTGCTACAGAGTCAACCATTACTCGCCTGTCACCTATAATCGTCTCCTCCACCCGCTGCATGAATGCGTCTGTTGAATAAAAATCTGTCAGTCTAAACAGGAAGCATTTCCTTATAAATCTCCTTTGCAGGCAGCTATTCCCCACCATTCTGTTTTTGTGTTGTGAATAAGCATGCAACACCTAGTGTCACCTAATGAATGGAGACATAAAGTTTGATGTTGCTGTCACCTAAATGACACTTTTAGAAATCAGCAACTATATTTTCCTGCTATCCCATAAACATCTGTAACTTCCTTATTGACTTTCCCTCGTAAATACAAATATTAACTATTGCTTTTTTTAAATCATTTGAAAGTTACAGGAAAAACGTACTCAATACAAATATGGATATGAGAAAAATTTCCTGCAAAATTCAACACAGAATGACTGTACTCAATATCTTCTCAGCGCTCACCCTTAAAATGGTAGTTGGCATGTTGTGTTATGGCTCCCAGCTACTGTGATATTTTTAGCGTTTGAACCAACCCGTCCAATTTCAGTAAACTCCTAATTAAGTCACATTTTACTATATGCTTGACCATTGGGGGGGGGGGGGGGGGGGGGGTGTCTCTGAGAGAAGTGGATTTGTTGTGTTTTTTTCGCACACAATGGGGTTTCAGAACCCACTCAAGGAATATGATGTTTTTCAATGTAACCATGGATATTAATTTCAAAAATCTTTATTCTTCAGAATGTGAAAGTTCAATAAAGCAGGACTGTATTTGATTGATGTAAGTGTTGATATTAACTTACACAACAGAATGTCAAAGTTAAATGCATGAAGAGTGTGCTCAGTATGTACACACACAATCTGTGTCTAGGTTACAACTAACATGCCAGACTGTTTTCTCAATACAAGATGTGCTACAGATATCAAGAAAAGTAGCAGGTGAAAAGTTCTTCTTAGCATCTACACCCTGCAAACTTGAGGTGATAGTTCTAGCTGCTCATCCACTTGTGGACTTTGGTCTTGTTCCAGAAGCCGAGGGTTGCATGCACATCCAGTGTACAGCTCTGGCTTATTTGTATGCAGACTGTTGGTTCCTCACTTAGGCAGATGCATTCCTGGAATAGTTCATTAAGTATAAATATGATTTTCACTCAAGAATAAAAGGTTTATTTCTTACTTTCTTTAAATTCAAGATGGCACATGTCTGCACATGTATTTGTTTGTGAATGTATTGATCGTTGGCAATACTTACCTAATAAATAACCTTTTTCATCTCCCTCCTACCAAATTAAAGAGAGAATCTGATATTGAAATAAATACATCTGATTGGCATTACCAGCTGTGAATATCCTAAACATCATTGATTACCTTCAGCTTCTTTCCTGCTCTGATCTTCTTTGTCCACTTGCATACACCAGCGGCTGCAAAAGTCATGCTGTTCATTGGTTCGTGGATTTTTTACTCGCACTTTGTTGCAGCCTGACCTGTGGCACTTACCTGAGGATAATTTTGTATCAAAGAAAAACATGGACGCACCCAAGCATGTTTAATCAAAACAATATATTCTTCAACTCTTATAAACCTCGTATTTTTTTTTAATCTGTAAATATCTCTCTCAAAATATTTCATTTGTTTGTCCTAGAAAAAAAAAACATGCTAAAGACCCACATTTTTAAAATTTAGAGTTTTCACTAAAACTACTCATGTAAAAAAAAAAAAAAATCTTACCAAGGTCACACAAAAATATAATGACCAGGTTGCCAGTTACTGCTGTAACAAACAGGAAATTATGGTGTCCTAATGTCTATAAATAAAGCCACGTTCAACAAGGAAACCCTGACTGAAATGCTATTTTTAGCAACTAAGAAGAAGAAGAAGAAGAAGAAGAGGAAGAGGAGGAGGAGGAGGAGGAGGAGGAACAGCAAGGAAGAGAAGGAGGAGGAACTGCAAGGAAAAGGAAGAGGACAGATGACAACATAATATAAATATTTATTTTTATCCTTAAAGATCTCACTCAGCAGAAGTGTTAATTCATATGAGCAATCCTGACAGATGAAAATAATTTTATTTAATTAAAAATACATTTTTGTTTGTTTGGTTTATCTAGTACACTGCCGATTTAATTTACAACTTTCATTTTAAATTAAATGAATTATATAAGCCGTTCTAGTGTGGGTTTCAGGGCCACAATGTGATGCGGGGGGAAAAGGAATACACAGACTGCCACCCTATGAGCATGTCATAAAATTTGATTAATTCATCACCAGTTAACCAAGTTCTTTATAGAACGTTGCTCTCTTCACAGCACGCCTGAAAGTATCCCTTTCCCTAGCCAGCTCTCCGGCCCCATGTGCTTTCAATGCTAATGCATCTTCAATGTCCTGTATCCATCTTCACAGTGGTGGGCCCCTGCCTCGCCTTCCACAACCTGCACGCTCCATCACCGTCTTTTCCAAGCCACCATGACGTTTGATGTCATCAAAAATACTTAAAAACTTTCAAGACAGGACGCTGTTTATGAGCCAGTTTCCTTGATGTTTAACTCGTTTAGAATGTTGTTGTTTTTCCTCTTCTTGATCTATGGTATTTTAATATGTTCCTATCCAATGCCAGCACCTTTTCTCCACCTCTTGATTCACTAAAACGCCACTAAACTAGTCATCACAGTATGACCAGCAATACTTCTTCAGCACATGTGAGATAGGATAACCCTCCAGGAGCTCTGCCTGCATAAAGCCATGGCTTGCAGTAAGGCAGGAAATACCAGTCTCAACCTGCCATGTTAGCAGACATAAATGTTTCTTCATCTGGTTTTTAGTGTTTTGCTCCACATTCTGGTGATGTCATCATTAGCAAAAACCCCAATATCAACCAGCACTGACTGCAACTCTGTGATTGAGGACTCCCTGGTGGTAAACCCATTTAGTGTTAGATGACAGTTACGCTGCTGAAGTGATTATAATATCAGTCATGGTTATAAAAGGATTGTTGATAGTTTAGAAAAAGTCATGCCATGCCGCTGAACTCTAAACCAAGAGATGGCAGCTTCTACCTTGGAGAAAAGATCTAAAAGATGCTCACTACCAAGGAGCTCTGAAGCGATGACTGCAACTCTGCACGAAGCATACCTGTCTCCATCTTTCTCAGTATGCTCAGTCTGTTACACTCATGATATGTGTGTGTGTATGTGTGTGCAGCTGGTTCTCAAGCCAGCAGAAGGCTGCAGTGAAATGCCTCAACATCCATTCTCAAACAAGGTGGTGTGGTATCATATGCCAGTTTTTGTTGCACTCAGGGTCATCGATTAATTTTTGCAATAAACCTCCTATGCATTTGTTCTGCCTCTCAACATACAGCTGCTTGTAAAGATAATGACATGCCATAAGCCAGTTGTTGAATTTATGATTCTACAGTGCCCGCTGTCCAATAACTGCACTTTCAGTCCAATGTTATTATAACCTTACAAAAGTTTGACTGTTGCTTGGACATTGACCCACTCCTCTCCTCACCAAATTTTTTGCAAGCCTGCACACATCTTCTTCTTCTTCTTTTGCTTCTTCTTTTTCTTCTTCTTCTTCTTCTTTTTCTTATTAGCATTCACTGACTGTAAACTCCCAGCGGAAAGTTCTTGTTGTTCTTCCACTTCTGGACTTTGGTCTTGATACAGAACTTAAGTTTTGCATGCACATCCATTTTACAGATTTGGCTTATCTGTGTGCAGACTGTTGGTTCCTCACCTCTCAGGCAAATGCATACCGACTTTGAAGGAAACACCCTTAATTATTTACCTCCTATCACATGCTTGGTTGAGGGGGGGGGGGGGGGGGGGCTTCAGTCTTGTCTTTCTTCTCCAAAATGGAGCCCAAGAGGGAGAAGTACAAAAGTTGAATTGTGTCTTCTACTGGAAGGGAGAAAAAGACAACTGAATGACAGTAGCAGCATCAGAATGACCACAAACACTTCACACACGAATCATGAGCCTTGCATCAATCACTTACTGAATGACAGTAGCAGCATCAGAATGACCACAAACACTATACACACAGATCAGGAGCCTTGCATTAATCACTTACCGATGCTCTCCCTAGTTGCTCTCAACTCTGATTCCCCGTCACTTTGCTCACTTTCGTCCGAAGGCCACTCTCAACAGTGCCATCACATTGGTATGCCGACCGGATGCATCTTTAATCCATGGATTAGATGGATCAACTTCCTGAATAGATGCTACAATAGCTTTACGCAGATCCTCCTAAAATGCACAAGATTATAATTACATTATCATTACCTTACAGGAAATATTACTTTACAGAAACACTATTTTAAAGAATTTAACAGTATTGCTGAACGAAAAAAAATGTGTTTAAAATTTCAAAGGCAAGGAAACAAATCTAAAGCAAGACCTAGATAATCTGATAATACAGAAGGAAGATGCACAAATAAAGTTAACAGTAGAACAGCTCAAGCAAAACCAGCATTTCTCAGGACGAAGAATGTTTCTATGCCAGTGGTTCCCAATTATCATAACAAATGTAAGGGAGTCCATGATATCATTTACACACACACACAAAACATCAACTCTCCCCCACTCTATCTCTCTCTTCTCTATTAACAACTATGAAATGAGGTACAGAATAACTGAAAGCAAGGAGTGGAGAGGAAGGGCAGAATGTAAGACGGGCCTGGGTGTCCAATTCTTAACCCTTTGAAAATAAAGTGTTTTCATTAATTTGTTCTTCTCTCTCTCTCTCTCTCTCTCTCTCTCTCTCTCTCTCTCTCTCTCTCTCTCTCTCTCTCTCTCTCTCTCTCTCTCTTTCTTTCTCTTTCTCTCTCACTTGTAAATTTAAAACTTTTATTTGAGGGGGGAGGGGTGCAATTCTGATATAAATTTACTCTGGGTTTTTTTAATATGATTATTAAAATTTAATGAGTCCATGGCTGACCTTAAAAAATAGGAGGGGTCATGCGAGTCTTATGTAATTGGGAACCACAGTTTTATCGTTTTCAATACAGGTAAGAACGAATGAATGAAGAACGAAACAAACTTTATTTTCAATTATTTTCAAAGGGTTACAAATTGGGCATGCAGGCCCATCTTATATTCAGCTCTTCCAAGCACTCATCTTTCAGATACCCGCAATTGCAAATCACAGGCTGAGGAGAGGCACGATCACCAACACCGGTCACCAAGGCACTTGATGAGGATGATGCTCAGCCCTCCCAGAAAGCAGGATAAAACAGCCCCTAACTCATATCACAATAAGTGCCGACATTTAGAAACTGGGACACGACACATACTCCATAAGCAATGCACTGAAAGAAAAGCCGAAGCAATAACACAAACTGATACAACCCATACAAAGGCCTTTACCAGAAAGATCTACCAAACCTGATGTTGAAAGATAATGATCACAGGAAAGTTGGAAGCAGCAATAAGAAAAAGTTGGTCACTTATATATTTCTGCATTTCCTTGTGTGGGCTGCTGGGCTGCCCATTTTAGAGAAAAAAAGGGTAGATCACCTGACCTCCTAATAAACATGTAGGAGGAGGTGATTAACTAAGGGTGTTTCCTTCAAAGTTGGAGTGCATCTGTCTGAAGCAAGGAACCAACAAGCTGCATACATGTAAGCTAGATCAGTAAAACAGATGTACACACAAAACTCAAGTTCTGAATCAAGACTAATGTCCAGGAGTGGATGAATAGAATGTTCTGCCAGTTTACACAGCCGGTAAATGGTAAGCTAAGAAGAAAAATTTGGTATTTTGCATTTGTTCTATTCCTTCCTTCATAAGAACTGAAAAGAAGAAAGAAAAGGGTTGTTATTTAAATGTTTACACTGGCTGTAAATTTGTTCTATCTTTCATTTAGGAATGACTCAAATATGCTCAAAAAGAATGGCTTGGTTTGAAGACGGTAATTGGAGCACCTGAGGAGATCATGACTGGCAAAAATCAGTTTCCTTTTTGTGCCAGGACATGCGGGTGTAAGAGGAAATGAACAAGCTGATACTGTACAAAACGGGCAAACAACAGATAAGACTGATATACTGAAAGCTATCGGAGTGGCAGGATGACCAAAAGAATCATGTGATGACCGTGAACTGGGAAACTGACTAGACTGCAAAACCAGCAGGCCATAGTAAAGACAGTCAAGAGGTCAACAAAGAATTGTAAACCAACAGCTGTTAGTCATCATACTACTGAGGGATATACTGAGGAGGGGATCCAAGAACTTATGGACTGAATATTTTTTTCTCTGCTTTCACCAGATGCAGAATCGGGGAAAAAGTTCTGGTTGACTATCCACTTCTGGAGTCAGTTTTGTTCCAGAACTTGAGTTTTGCATGTGTATCCGTTGTACAGATCTGGGTTATCTGTATGCAGACTATTGGTTCTCTGCCTCACAGGCAGATACACTCCTATTTAGAAGAAAACTCCTAATCAGTCGACACTTACAACATGCTTGTAGTGGGTATTTTCTGCCCACTCTCTCCCCTTGCACTGGGACCCAGGAACCCACACGGAGATACTGAATAGTGTACAGACTTGCTGATAGGGCTGTTACAGAAAGCCCAGATGGGCAATGGATCAGGCTGACATATTAACTGAATGCTACCAAAGTTTTAACAGCAACTGAAAGAAATTCCTGTGACTCTGCTAGGATGGTCTGTCGACTAACTCATGGATGATATCACTACCCAGCTGTAAAAATTTAAAGCCGCTTACATCTTCAGCTTCAGTGCCGCTGATTTTCCTCTTCATTTTGGACTTCCTGACACTTGGAGGTGTCTCTGGAGGGACCAGGCCTTTTGATATAGCCATGATAAACTCCAGCCTCTTGCGCTGAACAATGTGTGCCTGCTCCATGATCTTGCGCCGTGGAGTGCGGAGGTATAGCCGATTTACCATCTGTGATAAAATTTCTGTGCATTCTTCAAGCTCTGTCTGTGGAAATAGAAATTGGACAATTGCATATTTCTATCTGTGTCTGTGGAACATATTTCAGACAACATCATTATGTAAGAAATTAAACAAAACACAGTCCCAAACTAGCATTTTCAAGTGCTCATGAAGAGTGCCCAGTCTTCATGTTTGAAACGTCTACCAAACGTTCCAATTTTATTTCTGCTCCTCAAATTCAGAGTAGTTCACTTTTATTATTCACCATGAAGGGCACTGTTTCTGATATTAGAAATTGTTTGTAGTTTAATTTAGAAATGTCAAACAAAGTGCATTATTCTGGTATCGAAATTTCTAGTAGAGGAGGATGAGAAGGAGGAGATGATGATGATGATGAAAAAGAAGGAGGAAAAAAGCTGAAAAGAAGCAAGAGGATAGGAAAATAAGGAGGAGGATAGCAGAAGAAGAAGTAGGAGGACAGCAAAAGAAGGAGGATAATGATGATGATGATGAAAGAGAGGAGGAGGTGGGGGAGAAGGAGACCCAAGAGTTTTAACAACATTTGGCAAAACAGTTATAAGAAGTAGGATTCGAACTAACGTCCTAATTTACTGACCAAAACACTACACTAACCTGCATGAATTCAAAGACAATTTTCTTATAGCCCGGCCCATCCAGATAAAAGGCGTAAACATAAGAACACTTGAGGACACGCCTGGCCTTTAGCAACTGTTGCACAGCATCTTCTACAAACCTGGTTTCTGCATGTGCTGTGGCTGTTAATTATCCAATTGAAGGACAGTTGATTATTCCACAACATTTATTACAACAATGAATGAATGCTACAAAAATTATTACAACAGTGAATGAATGCTACAACAATTATCACAACAATAAATTAATATTACAATTTGTTCTTTCAATATACGATTATGCCACAACATAAATTATAATAATGAATAAATGTTACAAGGATCATTATAACAATAAATAAACGCTTCACAATCTGAACAACAATCAATACAGTAATGAATGCTGCCACAATCAATAAATGGTATAATAATAACTACAAAAATCAATAAAATCTACAATCAGTACAATAACGACTGAAAGCTACATCAATCAATATAACTATAATTGAATGCAACAATAATTAATGGACACTATAACAATCAGTAAAAAAAAAAAAGATGCTACAATGCAATGCCTCAACAATAATAACAACAATGAATGAATGCTACAACAATCACTAGAAAAATCAAAAAATGCTGCAATAAATGCAACAATAAATTATTGTTACATAAATCAATATAACAACAAATGACTGCAATGCCAATCAATAGGATACATTTTTGATGCAACAATAAATGAATGCTACAATAATAAATTATTGTTACAACAATCAATACAACAAACAAATGCTACAACAATTAATAAATGCTAGAACAATCAATGCAAACAATTAATAAATAACACTAGCTACTGTCATTCAATTTAACATTTTATTCAATCCATCTTTGTTCTTGGGTGCCCTGTTGCTTGTACTGTACCAGCTGTGAAGTGTAATGTCTGTGTTGATAACAGGTACTCAGCTCTGAAGTGTAATGTCTGTGTTGATAACAGGTGCTTAGCTCTGAAGTGTAATGTCTGTGTTGGTAACAGGTGCTCAGCTCTGAAGTGTAATGTCTGTGTTGATAACAGGTGCTTAGCTCTGAAGTGTAATGTCTGTGTTGGTAACAGGTGCTCAGCTCTGAAGTGTAATGTCTGTGTTGATAACAGGTGCTTAGCTCTGAAGTGTAATGTCTGTGTTGGTAACAGGTGCTCAGCTCTGAAGTGTAATGTCTGTGTTGATAACAGGTGCTTAGCTCTGAAGTGTAATGTCTGTGTTGGTAACAGGTGTTGCTGCATTCTAACAAGATGCCCAAACCATTTAATCTTGTGCTTTTGAAGAATCTGATTTCAAATGTTGTTCCAGCAATCTGTCTACTTGATGTGAATTTTTGAAAATGTGGTACTTATCATGAACTCGCCAGCACGACGCAAGTTCCTTCCCCTTCCATTCATGCCGTGGCCTGTCCCACAGCCTGTCCTGCGTTGTGGGGGTGTCATATATTCCTTATTTTCAACGGTTTAACCATTTTTTATTTTCTTGTGTTGTCACTGCTAACTTGCACAATTATTTCTATGCCATGCTACTTGCCCGATGATTCGTGAGTATCCAAACTGGCATGTTTTTGTATTCCTACGTTCCTTGTCAGTGGCTTCATTTTCTGGGGGGAAGGCATCGCCAAGGAACATAAAAAAAATACAAAAACATCCCAGTTTCGATGCTCATAAACAGTCGTGCCTTCGGTGCTTGCCCCCCTTGTAGTACTTCTTACTTCTATGCAGATGCCTGCGGCGCCTCAAAGAGACTCACGACAACACAACCTGCAACAAATATTATATACGAATGCCGAACGAAGCTATCTCATAACACCCCAACAATACTAGACAGGTTGTGCGACCAGCCGCAGCATAAATAAGAGAAAAAGGAACTCTTGTTGTGTAATGTCTATGTTCGATACTTATAGCCTGGTGTTGACAGGAATATGCTACTTCTAACCATGACAACGAATAACTGACAGTTACATACCATTATCTGTAACAGCTTCTGCTAACTTCATCATCTTGTCCTTGACTGTTTGCAATAAAGGTTCTTCTAACTGGTTGGTTTAGAAAGCGTCAAAATAATTCAAAAAACATGAAAACATCTTCTTAAACTCTATGCCGTGAGGCTTTGGTAGTCATGTCTATCAAGAACCTTCTGTCTCGTGTGCTTTCAATCAACTCTGACACAGATGATCCTCCATGTCATGATGTCAAACTGTCTTAACATCTGCACTTTCGGTCTCCCTCTGCCTCTCCTCCTTCAGTTGTCTCCTACTCATCACATGACCAAAGAATGTAGATTGTCTCTTGCTAATGTGGGCAATCAGTTCTCTTTGTGAGTCATTCTTTCAAAATGTCTTCATTACACTTTTGTTTTTAATCATTCCAAGGGTATTCTCATCATTCGTCTATAAAAACACATCTCTGCGGCTTCCAAATACATTTTCAAAACATGAAACAGTTGTGGAGAAAGTTGTTGAGGAAAATGTGACAGTGGTTGGAAAAAACACTGAAGTTTGAGGAAACTCGAAAAAGTTGGAGAAAAACATATTACTGTTTTAGGTAAATCATTATGAAAGCAAAATTTTATGTTTTTTATAACAACTTCTAACACAGTAATTTTCTTCTTCTTGCTCTCTACTTCTTTATCTGCCTTCTTTCCCCCACTAGAGAGGTTGAGAATTGAAGTTTGAACAACCGATCAACATCATGGCACACAGGTGGTAACCCATAAGTACTCCGTTCTTCTTCTAACTGAAGTCTTCTAACATCGCTTTCATCATGGTGTGCCAGAAAGAAACTTAAGTCTCTCGCCTGCTTTCCCACCTCGTGTACTTTCATTTTCAAGGATCACTTATATCCTGTGCACATCTTCATGTTGGTAGGCCCCTGGCCCCTTGTTCATATCTAGACAAAAAGGGTATCTAAATACCTTGTAACTGTTCTCATGGTTCTTGAACCGGGTATAGTAGTGGACAAACCGATTGAGCTCCTGCATGTTTCTATTCTTGACCTCAGCCTTGACAGAAGACAACAGAAAGATCATCCATGTCAAATAAAACAGCAACAAAAAGTCTCACCAATTCATGTTAAAAGCTGCTGAATATGCCATCCTAAATGAGGAGCAATACATGTACAATTCAGTCAAAAGAAAGAAAAGAACTGATCAAATGTTTAAACACATATAATCACCGCAATAAACACTGTGCCACCTACAATTTTGAAAACTGTCATCTAAGTGTATTCTCAGGGCTGTTTTACATCACTTTACAAGATAAGATGCTTTTTGAGCATTCTTTGAATGGTCAGATATTTTATAATGTCAATTTCATTGTTTTTTTTTGGTTTTTTTTTATTGCACATAACAAACTGTTCATGAATGAATGAATCAATCAATCAATCAATCAACCAATCAACACCTGACATGACTGCATTTGGGAGACATTCACACATGTGCTCCTTTCGCTTCTTCCGTAGAAACAAAGAGGCATCTCGCTAACAGTACCAGTTGCAACCTCATTAAAAGTCTGCCTCTGTTTTCCCCTCAATGTTGAATATCTTCCACACCCTCCACACACCCCATGTTGAATTAGTGTTTCAATGTATAAAGCAGAGTCATCAACAAAAGGTTTTTTTAACAAATGGCATCATACCTCTGAAACCATCTGGGCACTTTGCTCCTCAACTTTTTTGAGAACCTCATAGCGATTGCACTTGAAGTAGCCTCCGGTGGAGCTGTTGTGCCGTTTCCACTGCTCTAGGCACACCCAACAAAAATCATACTTGCACTGAGGGAGACGGAGAAGAACATCCCTGTGATTAATTCTAGAGTCATAGTCATTCTGTCAGTCCTCCAGGAATCTGTCAGTCATCCAGAAGTCTGTAAGTCATCCAGGATTCTGTCAGTCATCTTGGAATCTGTCAGTCATTCAGAAATTTTTGTAAGTCATCTAGAAATCTTTAAGTCATCCGGGAGTCTGTGAATCATCAAGGAATCTGTCAGTCCTCCAGGAATCTGTCAGTCCTCCAGGAATCCGTCAGTCCTCCTGGAATCTGTCAGTCATCCAGAAGTCTGTGAGTCATCCAGGATTCTGTCAGTCATCTTGGAATCTGTCAGTCACACTGAAATCTGCCAGTCATCCAGGAACAACTTTTTGTCCCTGATACAACTTTTAAAAAGTAAAGAGAGATATAACACATTCAGACCAAAAAGATGATTGAGAGATTATACACAGGCAGACCTGTAAACACCCGGAGTCACCAACTGGAAAAAGAGGACTAATTACAAAGAAGAATGGAGGCCGGTGATGTCTGCAGCAATGAAAACCTCAAGGGCTGGGAATGCTGAAGAAGACAATGAAAGTCAAGATCCCTTTTTTTTACATCGCTGGCATATCAGACACATAGTGCTAGAACCTTATTTTTCTAGACACACTGGCACTTGATGGGTGAAATGTGGTCAACATCAGCCAGCTGCCTTTATTTCCCAGGGCATTACTCATAACCTCCAACTGACTGTAAGTGGCAATGACAATATCCATACTGGACCTTCATTCACCGATGAGCTGCAGAATCAACCACAGCCTTACTTGGCTGTTAGAGATCTCACTACTGTCCCGGCCTAGCTCCCACTGTTAAATGTGTTCTTAGGAGGTAACGCATCCTAGGGTGTATGACTTGCTCCAGTAACATCCAAAAGCTCTCTAGGACGACAAAACGACTATTAGGTTCCTACAGGACAGCAAGGAAAGGCCAACGACAATAAATACAACCACTATAACTAGGCACATGTAACATGTCCCCTCATAACCATCAACATTGTCTACTAGTACTGTAACATAATACACCACGCCAAGTATCATTTTACAGTGCGATCACTCTCTTTATTATGGACGAACACATTGTGACGACGATGAATAGGTGGTCAATGACTCATTGTCAAGTCTACTACTGCCTGCCAAATACTCACATCGGCAGTCTCTCCAGACATGGAAAAACACCCCAGCGAACTATGTACTAGGTGCCTGCTACGGGCGATCGTGCAGATAAACATATGTGATGTGCAGTGACAATCCTCTGACGGTCCTTCCTTAGAAGACTGTTCCACCTAGGACTCAAGGTAGATGCACTACTTGGTGAGAAGAGCCCAGACCTCCCGTCTGCTACCCCAGCCACTCATTGAAGTATCACTAACATAATATAACCCTTGACCCATTAGGGTCGTGGAGGTGTACTGATGGAAGCACTAGCACATAAAACCCGCTATCTTTCTCTGTCTTCTGCTTGATGAATAAGTGAATGATAACTAAGTCCTCTCTTTCTTGATGTTGTCATTCCAGATTCTACTTTGCCCTCGTCTTCTTTGACTACCCCAATGTTTCTTGAAGTACAGTCTGCAATCGAATCATGTCTCACCAGGTGCGCAAACTAAGCTAGCTTGCGACCTTTCACAACTGCCAAGAGAGGCTCCTGATGTCCCGCCAATTTGTATATTCTGTCACTGACTAGCATCCCATTAATCGGCCTCCGATACTTCCCCTTCACATTTCCACACTGGTCAACCCACACAAAGTTCCTGAGTGCCTTCTGTGCACTGAAGGAACCCAATCAGCATGCTACATAGTCACAACCGTGCCGACCCCGCATACATGGCAGACACAAGTCCATTCTAGAAATCTCACTGACAGAATTCCGAGTTTCACCCATGATTCCACCACAATCATCCCAACAGTTCACATGAGCTCCACGGAATAAAATCACATTGTTAAAAACTGTCCCATTAAAGTCCATGCATCCCACTGGACTTAAATTTGCATGCACATGTTGTTGCAGTTAGACTGACTGAAAACTACTGACTGACTCAAAGTACCACAAGATTTTCCCACCTGCGGTCAGTTCCAGGTGGATCTCATTTTCTTGCCAACACCCAGGGTTCTCAACCCCCTCGTGATGTCAACCCACATAGATCCCACAGTATCAATTATCTTCAAGACTCATATTTTCCCCAGTGGTTCATGTTCCACTGTCTTCGATTGATCCCAAATGTTTACATTCACAACCCGTCACACAATATTAACTCTTTATACACTAGCATAAATTTTGCATACAACAACTAGGCAATATTAATATTAAGTAGTTTTTTTACTTTTATCTGAACAGTCAGCTCTCAATATCACTGTAAAAATCAACACTAGGGGGCGTGCTGAAAAGATATATAGCAACTTGTAAACATTTAAATCAACACAAGTAATGTACATAAATACAAGAAACAGAATGCTTACCTTACTGCATTTCATGTGGTTACAGCCCTCGTTTTTCTGTATGGGCGACTTACAGTTGGGACAGGGTTTGGAATTGGTTACCAACCACAAACAGTTAGCTGCTAGTTCAGTCTCCTGCTCTGTGCCGTCCACTGGTGAGATACACAAAATAAAACTAGTGACAGAAGACCTCTGGCTGTACATTCTGCATCAAGCAACTTTTCTTCTCTTCTTCAAATGTTCCAGTTTTTCTCCTTATAACGTGCCCAAAAACATGATAACTGCTTCTTTTCTGACTGTAAAAATGTGTAGTTGTGACATGAATTCTTTCTTATTTCTTCTTTTATTTTCCATCTTCCAGTGGAACATTTGACCTCAATCAACTCATGTCAAGCTTTATAAAAAATTGTTTACACTCTGTAGCTTGTACTTTTTTTTCTACAAGATTATTTGGCCAGCCTCATTTAAACTCTCCTTCACTGTCCATAAGCAGGCCCTTTACACAACATTTCTCTCATAAAAACATTGCTCTCATCAGAACATTGCTCTCATCAAAACATTGCTCTCATCAGAATCAACATTGCTCTCATCATGGCATGACTGAATGTTTCTCTTTCTCTAGCAAATTCTCCAGCTCTATGTGATTCCATAGCCACTGCATCTTCAGTGTCATGTATCCTGCCTCATTTTCCAGAAAATGTACCTTCTGTCAAATCTCTCCAGGCCACTATTATATTTAACATGGCCGAAACAACCCAGCTTTCAGGACAGAATGTTGTTTATAAGCCATTTGTCCTCGATACTCAGATAAATGTAGGATGTCTATGTTCTTGTTCTTCTTGCTCTTCCATCTTATTCAAAACATCAAAGAACAAAATTTGTGACGAAAGGAGAATGTATAGGCCAACTGAAGAGGATGATAATATTATATGAAATTTTAAAACCTGTTATTAATTGAAAAGCTGCAAAGAGACATACATGTTTCTGGCTTGACTTCATTGATCTTCTGAAACCATCTGCTCCAGTTTTCACAGCTACATGGTTCATGGGACTCTTCCAAGCACTCCCTGTTAAACACAGAAGCATTACACAATCAACCAACAATCAACAATGAAGGCTGACTACAATGGATCACTTGACGATTTCTCTTTCTCATCCTAGATATACATTCTCTCAGACTGCAGTTCATCTATCTTTAGATGTTATTCTTTTAACTGCATCACTGTCAAGCTCTTGCCCACCTGTCTCCACCTTTCCCTCCAGCATTAAATTACATAAGTACTATACTAATATGTCTCTTTTACATCTCAACATCACCTCCAACGCTAACAAGATTATCCCATCACTGGTATGGCACTATATGAATAAGTACTGCACTCGTATATATCTGTTACACCTAATCATCATTTCCAACGCTGACGCAATTATCTCATCACTGCTATGGTATTAAATAAGTATTGCACATACATGTCTTTTTTACATCTCAACATAATCTCTTACGCTAACACAATTATCTCATCACTGCTATGGTATTAAATAAGTATTGCACATACATATCTTTTTTACATCTCAACATAATCTCTAATGCTAACACAATTATCTCATCACTGCTATGGTATTAAATAAGTATTGCACATACATGTCTTTTTTACATCTCAACATAATCTCTAATGCTAACACAATTATCTCATCACTGCTATGGTATTAAATAAGTATTGCACATACATGTCTTTTTTACATCTCAACATAATCTCTAATGCTAACACAATTATCTCATCACTGCTATGGTATTAAATAAGTATTGCACATACATGTCTTTTTTACATCTCAACATAATGTCTAATGCTAACACAATTATCTCATCACTGGTATGGTATTATTGACATTTCATCATCATCTCCAACATTGAAAACATTATCCCATCACTGGTATGGCACTATATAAATAAGTATTGCACTAACATGTATCTTTTACATCTGAACATTATCTCCAACATTATCCCATCACTGGTATGGCATTATATAAATAAGCATTGCACTAAAACATCTCTTTTTCTTCTCAATACCATCTCTAACTCTGACACAGTTATCCAACAATATCAGTATTTCACAATCTGCAGTATAGAAGTGGATTCTCTGCTGCGTCAGTCCACATCCACACCTCACATTCAACCTTATCCATGAAACATTCAATTTCATGCATGAGCTTTTATTGAGGACATGCAGGTTAAATTCACCCAAGGTTAGGTCATGGCTTTTGAATCCACATGAAGGTCAATTCTGATAATAGATCTGGATTCCCAGGTCAACGAAGCCTAAAATGGGGACCATGGTATGTCCTGGGAAGTAAAGCCTTGGTCAAATGACTGCTTCAGGTGCCATGAGAAAACAACATAAATTTCTAGGAATGTATTTTATTCCAGGAAAAGCCATTACTTCTAAAGAAATTCATTTTGTTCAGGAGGTAAAAAAAACACATGAGGATAAATATTATTAGCATCTGTTTCAAATCTGTCTGTGGCTTGGCACTGTGAATGCGCTTCATAATTCCAGAATACCCTGTTCAATTCCTGCTGTTCCCAATTTGGCAGTAGACTGCCATATGTGATTTTAAACAGGACTATCAAGAGCTGGACTATCGACAGCCGACATTTTCAGGAAGCAATGGCAAACTATGAAATGTAAAATTCCCCAGTACATCAAAATAATTAAAATATTAAAAGCTGTTGCTGGTTCAGCAATTTCCTAATTTTAAACCTAAAAAGCAACTTTCTATAAGCTTCTGGCATTACACGCATGTTGAAAAAATATTAACTCATGTCAGAGATGTGGTTTCTGAGAAGAATGCAAAGCATCTCATGGAAGTCCCTGTGTTGGTTCTGGGCCCCTATTACAGGGAAAACAAGAACAGATCCGCTGCCAACATAAAAGCCTGTCGTAAGAGTCGACTAATTGGGAGCTTCCTTTGAAGTCGGAGTGCATCTGCCTGAGAGGCAAGGGACCATCAGTCTGCATACAAATTAGGCAGATCTGTAAAACAGATGCACACGCAAGACTCAGGTTCTGGAACAGGACTGCAGTCCTAAAGTGGATGAACAACCAGAACTTTCTGCCAGAGTTTACAGCTGGTGAACATGAAAAAGAAGAAGAATTTCATGGAAGGATAGAAAAACAAATGAAGCAGTTCTCATCTGGATAGATGAACATCATAAACTCATCAGAACAATCAATCGTAGACAGTCAATGATGTTTGGCATAAGCATGAGAAGGAATGACTCAAGAACTTGGTAACAACGGCACAATTGACAGAAAGAGAGCAAGAGGAAGGCAAAGAGACAAATACCTGGATGGCCTGGTCAGATGGATGTGGCGAGACAAAAACATTATACTGGTCTGTGATTCTGGTGACTGTGTGAGAAAATGTTGACAGCCTCTGCTTACTGGCACAGCACAAGATGATGATGATAATTACAGATATGTAAATAATGAAAGAAGTAGCAAATGGGAGCAAACTGACTTAAACACTCCATGGAATTATTTGTTGTCAGGAAGCTCACCAACAGAAGTAGTGGCCAACACCACAGTCCACGCCCCTTGAGGTGTCAGAAGGAATCTTATTGCGTTTAGTGCCAGAGTTCGACCCCAGATCAAGATCTGGAAGTTTGACAGCTCTGCCGCAGGCTGGATAGGGACACCACTTCATGTCAGGATTGCTGTCTACAAAAGCCTGAGGAAGTAATGAACATTTAGCTGGTTTCACTGTCAGCCTCTTCTTTCAATTACTAATAATCACTTTTTTGTTTCTAATCTTCTTCTTTGTTCACCGTCTCCAAGCTCTGGCAGAAAGTCCTGGTTTTTCACTCATTTGGACTCTGGCTTTGTGCCAGGGCCTGAGTTTTGCATTTACATCAGTTTTACTGGCTTTTTTGTGTGCAGTTTCTTTTTCCTTGCTGCTCGAGCATTGCACTTCGACTTCGGAGCAAGCCCCAAATTAGTCGACTCCTACGACAAGCTTGTTGGGAAGGCAGTGGGTATTTTCTTGTTTCCCACACAATGGGGCCCCAGAACCCACAAACGGGGCCCCGGAAACCACACCTGTTTCTAATACAATGCCTTATCCCAACATCTGTGAACAAGGAATATGATGATGATAAATATAATAATGACAGACATATTATTTCAAATGGGATGTAGAGATTAGTCGCTATCAAGGTTCCAATATTACTGCAGACTGGTCACCCCATAACAGCTCTGTTCCTGTGCCAGTGGAAATCAGATTTGTCAATCCCAGCAAAATCTTAAAGCTTGCTCGCGCAAAGTAAAAATGTATAAGGCAGCTGTAAGATGTGCCAACACTAACAGCCCCATACCAAAATTGCAGCTCACTGTTGGCACAAAAAGTTAATTTAGTGCGGTAAATAACACACTGCAAGCACAACAGGAAATGTGCAGCTCACAGTGTCCCACCAAGCACTCATGCAGTAGCTATATGACTAAACTTTTTTGGTCTCCCAGTCCATAAATGGGAAATTTGCATCAGCAAAACCTAACTTGAAACAATTTTTTCAGAGTGTCAGCAGTCAGCCATTTCGGCCAGAAGTCTGCAGATGCAGAAGTGCTGAATATCACCTGATAGGGGACCAGGACTCAGGGCTTTTACCTATCTATGCCTCTGTGAGGTCATCCTAGACACAGGTCCCCAACCGGTGGCCCAGCTAGGGTAGATAGGATCTATGTTTCCTCTAGAGTTGCAGTGTATTTGCTGGAGAGGCGAGGGACCAACAGTCTGCACAAAATAAGCCAGATGTCTCAAATAAATGGGCATGCAAAACTCAAGTCCTAGAATAAGACCAATGTCCAGAAGTAGCAACTAGGACTTTCCCCAAGAGATTACAGTTGATGTACATGAAGGAGATTACTATTTCACATGGAGTTTTGTTATGTATAAATTTTTCACATTATACTGGAGACGCAGACTGTGGAGAGGCAAGACGGCCAGCACCAGTCTTGATGATGATAATGATGATAGTGATGATAGTGATGATGATGACAAATTTCTATGAAACATTCTCTCGAATGTAAGTCCCACAGACCATTCAGTGTGTGCTGCAGTAAATAAATGTAAATATGTAAATGTAAAGAAATATGCATAAATATTTGTAAAATATAAAACTGTCAACATGTCTAAGTAAGGTGGAATCTCACACACAAAGGTCACTGCAGTTACCTTGATATCAAACTGCAAATATCGGAGTGCCATGTCTCGCGAAACAATCCTTTCTATTATGTCGATAGGTACCAGCATGGTGCAGTTATATGCTGGACATGTGATGCGATGAGCATCGCCTTCCTGAATTTTCACATTTAAATATCTGTAACATGAACAGTTGTGTCAACAATTGTTAAATGTTACATTCAGCATCTTCTCCTCCTTCTGCTGTCATTTATCTTCAAGTCAGCGGCAGACACTGTAATTCTTTATCTACGCTCTTCAGCATCAGATGCTAATATGTCAAGGTCAGGCACCACACTGACCTAGATCTCTCTGTGGGGCATCATGATATGCTCAAACATGGCTATGAGATGCTCATCACCTCTGTGAAGAAACCTGCTTATGACTGTAAATTCTGCAGTCTTAGTCTTAGTCAAGGTTTCAACTTCACTGTAATCGGGTGTCTCCAGACTTGCTCCGTTCCTGGGCCGGTGAAAATCAAATGAAATGTAACTGTCTCATTTGAATAACTGGTAAACAAACAATTAGTCCCAGAACAATACAGAAATTCTACACGCAGTAAATGCATATGACATTTGCTAGAGGTGCCAAAGCTAACAGACGCCACCAGAAATGCAGTATATCGCTGATGGAAATAATAGGTACTACTAGACTGTAAAGGAGTCAAAAGCAATTCCTAAAGATAATGGCGACTATCGGCACCCACTTCTTGCATACATCACACGGAAAGCTCAAAAGAATGCTAGAAATCAGTGTGTGAAATATATATAGAAAATACAACCAAATACATAGATCTAAGAAAACATTTTTGGTCTTTTCTATGAAAACAAAACGCAATAAATAGTACTTTACTAGAACACTGAAATGTCATAGTCACAAATAATAGTCTCTAAAACCTTCTTCTTTCTTCTTCATATTCACTGCCTGTAAACTTTGATGGAAGGTTCCACTTGTTCATCCATTTCTGAACTTTAGTCTTGTTACAGAACTTGAGTTTTATGTGCATATCCATTTTTACAGTCAGGCTTATTTGTAATGCAGATGTTGGTCCTCACTTCTCAGGCAGTTGCATTCTGAGTCTGAAGGAAACATCCTTAATCAGTTGCCTTTTTACATCATGCATGTTAGAGGTACAGTGATTCTGTTCTTTTCTGCCCCTCAAAATGGGACTCGGGAACTTATTTGGGAATTTAAAACTTCCAAATTCCATTTGATTGTGATATTTCAGTTGGCTGGCTAAGTTAAGAATTTATATTTTCCGTTACTGTGTTAATTGATAAAGACTGTGGTCAAAATGTTCACATGTATCTTCTTCTTCTGTGTTCGTCCTTAATAGGGCAGCATTGTGTTATCGTTTAAAGCTAGGCTGTGATATTTATGCCTTGCGGCCCAACATATTTGACTTAATTAAATCCTTAACTAGTCAGTCACCTTTTACAACATAATGAAATGTGATAAATTGCCAAGAACATTAATGATGTACTCAAGGTCAATAGAAAAGACATTATAAACAATCTTCTTCTGAAGACTAAGCACCCATGGGGATGTCTAAGGTGCGGTGAAACAACAGTGATAACATAACAAAGTGTTCCTAATGATTAAAAAAAACATACTAACATAACATAGTGTTCCTAATGGTTAAAAAAAAAAACATACCTTTCCCAACAGTTCTGACAAAACTGATGTGTGCAGGTCATGTGAACAGGTTCATCAGCGATGAGAAATGTGTTTGCACAAATGTTGCACTGTAACAAAATAAATGTGAATCTGACAAACTCATGTTTATATAAAAGAGGGCACATTAAAAAGTGCCTACAAAGACTATACTTTAAAAATCATACTGGAGGGAAAGATTGAAGAAAAAGAGTAAGAGGTGAATAACAATAAAAGTGGGAGGACAACATCAAGAGCTCAACAGGCTGCAGTCTGAGATAGTGTACAACCAGGACAAGAGTCAGCGTGTGCTGGAGATCCATTGCAGCCAACCTTTACTGTGGGGATGGCACCTGACTGACTGATTGACAAAAAGGCATACAGAAGAAGCACACACAGACGCATAAAGAAATATGCATACAGAAAGAGGCATATAGCAAGAAATATATAGGAAATAAGAGAAAATAGCAAGAGGTCTGTAGCAAGAATATATAGGAAAAAAAGAGAAAATAGCAAGAGGTATACAGCAAGAAATATATAGTGAAAAAAAACAGCATATAGCAAGAGGTATATAGCAAGAAATGTATAGGGAAAAAAACAGCATAAAGCAACAAGCATATAGTAAGAAATACATGCATAAAAAGGCATATGGCAATAGGTATACAGTAAGAAATATATGCAGAAAAGGGCAAAAAGTCAAAAAGAGGTACACAGCAAATAACATAAAGAAAGAGGCAAATATAAAGAAGTATATAGAAACCGGCATATGGAAGGAAGTATACAGAAAAGATTACAAGGAAAGAGACATTCATATCAAGAAGCATGCTGAAAGAAGTATTTTAAAAAAAAAGAAACATAAAATGACACACACAGAAAGAAGTATATAGAATGAGACAGCTAGAAAGAGATGGAGCAAAACATGCAGAAAGAAGCTTACAAAATTAAGTGTACAGAAGGGGACATATAAGGATGAATAAAGAGGCTTATATAGAAAGAGAAACTTAGAAAAAGTGTATTTTAAAAAAAAAAAAAGGAGCATATAGAAAGTAGCATAGAGAAAAGCAGACAGAAAGCAGTATATATAAGGAATTTAGAAACTAAACCAGAGAAAAGCATTTGGAGAATAGCATAAAGAAAGGCATTTAGAAAACAGTACAAAGAAAGGCACTTAAAAACTAGTCTATAAAAAGACTTATAAAAAGGTGTATAGAAAGGCATACAATAATTAGTACAGTATATAGAAAGGCATATAGAAAATGGCATATCGACAGGATTCTAGAAAATAGCACAAAGAAAGGCATTTAGAAACTAGCTTATAAAAAGACATAGAAAGGTGTATAGAAAGGCATACAATAATTAGTACAGTACACAGAAAGGCATATAGAAAATGGCATATTGACAAGCTTATAGAAAATAGCATAAAGAAAGACATTTAGAAGCTAGTCTATAAAAAGACATAGAAAGGTGTATAGAAAGGCATACAATAATTAGTACAGTACATAGAAAGGCATACAGAAAATGGCATATAGACAGGCATATAGAAAATGGCATATAGACAGGCACACAGAAAGCAGCATACAGAAAGAAGCACATGTGAATTTGGTTAACAAACCTCAGCATCTTGAGGGCTGGGAGATTTATGTGAAGGAGAAGGCAAGGGGCTGGCCAGATCTTCCTGCACCTGTGGCTTGTCACTGAATAATGTCGAAGGAGGAGTCACCCCGCACTTTTCACAGCATGCAACGGGATCATTCATCCAAGATTCTAGCAACATCTCTCTTGACCATTCTGAGGAGACCGAAGAAAAATGGTGTTCAAAGGTGAGCGAGGAAATGAGGATGCTTATGAGAGACCCTAACACATATGTTGACGAGAGAACAAAGGAACAAACTTTATTTTCGAAGCATTAAGAAGAGGTCCGTCTAACATTCTACCTTTCTAATTTACCTCTTTTCATACATCCTTTAATTCATCATTTAATTCATACATCATTTAATTCATACATAATTTACTTCATACATCTGTTAACAAGTAATAGTAAACATTATTAACAATAGCTAAATATTAAATGCAAGCTTACGAATGTGCTCAAATTATGCCTACATGTCTAACCACAGTAATTGTAATAAATCTGGAGGAAATATCTGCTTGTGCAACAGCCTCCCAGTTCTCCGCCTTAATGCCTAAATTAAAATAATGACCATTCCACTGGCCCCACAAAACATACCATGGTTTCTCAGCAAGGCTTCAGCGGTAAACAGTGGCACACTCAGCATGTCTGCAGTTTCAACAAGTAAATGATCTTTGGCTTCTTGCAAATCTTGTGGCCGGAGTCCAGAATATTCCTGGTTAAAATAGTATTATGATTATTTTATAAATAATGTTCCATACATAATCATAATTTAAGTTATGCTGCACTGCATTCTCAAAGTAGTGTGCTATGCAGGTGGTTGAACAATACAAACATATTACTGTCTGCTGCAATACACAGAGGGATATACTGAGGAGGGAATTAGAGAACTATGGACAGAAGGGTCAGAATATAGTTGATCAAGAGACGAAATCTTAAAAATATCCTTTTTTGGGGATTTTGACATTTTTCCCCCCCCCGTCCAGTCATACAACATTCTTTTTCCTAAAACCTTGAACAGGGTTCTAAACCCACCATTTGTTTAGGACAAATTTAAATTTTGTGGCAGGCGCCTGTGTTTTTGTTCTTTAAAAACAAGGCTTTTTTGCCAGAAAAAGCCCGAAAGTTAATACGGGGGGGGCGGACGGGTTGAAAGAGGTGGAGAAAGGTTTTACCCCGATTTTTGTTTTTGTTGGGGAGCTATCCGGATCCCAGGGTTGGGGCGTTTAAAAGCTGACAAAATTTGAGGTTTTTTGGTAGGGTTGTAGACAGGCAGGCACCCCCGCGAAGTTTTTATAAAACCCCTTTTGTAGTTGGCTTTTTTGCCTTTTATTTAGCCCAAAAAAATTTTTTGTGGCTTTGAGAAATTTAAAGGTCCAAAAACCGTTAAAAATGTTCACATAGAAAGAAAAATATCAACATTTTTTTTCAAAAGATTTTTTGCGTTAAAAAATTAATTTTCCCCAGTAGCAGGGTAAGGAAGGGAGGGTTATTCTCTTTTAAAACCTGGAGTTTGGGAACAAAAGAACACGTGCAAGTCGGGGCATGGCCCCAATTCAATGCTGGGCCCCATTTTGCAGATGATTAAAAATCTATAAAAAATTAAACTGCAAGGGTCCCGACCCACTGCCACCCCAAAATGTGATGCGAATAAAATACAAAAAAACAAATCAGGGCAAAATCCAAAACCCAAAAACGGAAAAAAGTAACCAACTTTTGAAAGTAGCTTTAATTTTGGCTTTTGGTGCCCAATGGGGGGAAGAGGAAAAAAAGTAGTTGAAACAAATGGGCTTTTTAAAAGGTGAGGCAATTTTCCAAAAACTCAGAGGAACGAAAATCATTACAAGCACATTTTCTTTCTTTTGGGCGGAAATGTAGTCAAAAGTCCCAAAAAAGGTGTATTAAAACCTTAAATATCTAATTTTTTGCGAACAATTAAAAAATAAAAATTTTTCACAAAAAGAAACTTTCGTTTTTTTTAAAAGGAATGGAAATGGTGGCCAAAACATTATGAGAAGATTTGTTTTAACCTGCCAAAAACATTTAACATGGGCACAAAAAAGAAAAAAAAGGGGCCCCCCCAAAAAAACCATAACAAATAAAGTAAAATAGTTTTTTGCCATGAAAATCCGGGAATTGACGGAAACAAAAAGGGGGGAAAAGTCTTAAGTCAGTCCAAATAAAAACTAAAAAAAAAAAACAAAATGTGAACCAAAAAATTAACACAAAGCCCTTTTTAAAAAATTTGTTAAATTATTTTTACATCAAATCAGAAAAATTTTGATAGAAGCATCCGGGGGGTTCCCCTAACCTTCATCACCATTTTCGCAAAGCCAAGTCCAATAAAAAAGGGGTTTTTCAGTGATTAATTATTTTAAATTTTTTGGGCGCAAAGTAACGTATTCCTGTCACCCTTAATCACTCTCACCGCGGGGAAAATCCGCCTGGGGTTTTCCCCAAAGGCCCAACCGGGTTTTTATCAGGCTCAAAAAATTAAAAAAGTTTGCAGACGGCCCTTGCCCCCTTTTAAAACGGGGCATCCCAAAAAAAGCCCAGACCGCCCTACCAAAAAGAAAAACAACAGCACTTGTTCTTGGGGGTACCTCCGTAAGTACAGTCGCCAATTTGTTCTTTGTTTCAAAAACCATGAACACCCAGCGCCACAATGAATGGAGAATAAAGTTCAATGTCCGTCACCTAAAGACACCTAAAGAACCCCCAACTATATTTTTCCCCCATCTCAAACCCTTTGTGACTACTTTTTGACTTCCTCTATTCTAAGGAGTGAACTGGGTGTTGGGATTTACCCGCTGGGTGGGATTTGATACAATGGGTTTACTGCAGTAGTGTCAAGCTTTTAAGGGAATCAGAGGGGGTAAGCAGTCAGAACCCCAAAAAAAAAAGAAAATCAAAACTGTACTTACTTCAACAGGGGGCATGGAAAAATTGTCCTTTCCGGAAGTTCTTCTCATTCTAAGGGTTGCAAACACACACTAAATTTAAAGTCAGTAAATATGTAGTCCCTCATTATACCTTGTTGTCCTGTGTGGGTTTTGGAGCCCATTTGAGGGAAGAAAGAAAAGGCCGGTTTTTTGAGTCATCAGTCCAGTCAAAAATATGATTATGGTTACTCCTTACAGCTAGCTTTTTCCCAAAAAAATTTTTTCCAATAGTACGCAAAACGTTTAAACCCCCAAAGTTTCTTTAACCCTTTTGGTGCTTCCTGGCTATTTTTTTAACCCCTAGGGAATTAAAACTTTTTTAATGTTTACGGCTTAAATTCCAGCGGAAAATTTGGTTGTTGTCCACCTCGGACTTTAGTCTTGTTCCAGAATTGGCGTTTCATGCACATCCATTTTTAAGACTGAACTTTTTTTCATGCAGACGTTGGTTTTTTCCTCTGGTGGATGCCTCTGATTCGAAGAAAAACCCAAATTTAAACAACTCTTGCGACATGTTTTAGGAGACAGGGGTCTATTTTGTTTTCCCCCCCAAAAGGGGCCCGGGAACCCACTAAAAAAAACTAAAAGTTTTAACAAAAAAAAAACTTTGGAATCAACAAAAATTGGGGGTTTTCTGCACAGTGATGAAAGAGTTTAAAAAATTTAAAAAATGATTAATTAAGGTTTTCTGAAATCGATTTTTTGGGCCCAAAAGGGGTAGATAATAGACTAGCTGTTTTAAACCCAACCCAAAGTAGCGCCATATCAAAGGAAAATCAGAAGAAGAAGAAATTTCCTTTTTTGAGATAAAAAATTACATTCCCCCCAGCGATTTGTCCATTTTAATTCTATTTTTACAATATTTTTTTTTATCCAAAATAGAATTTCTTCTTCTTCGGTCACCAGCTGAAAATCCGGGGAGAAAGTTTGTCCCTTGTCCACCTCTATACTTTTCTTGTTCCAGAACATGGTGCCCCAGCACATCCCTTTTTCAGATCGATTTTTTTTTTAAAAGGCCCCGGCGTACTCCAATTGAAGGAAGCCCCCCTTTTGTTTCCCCTATGAATGTTTTGACAAAGGGGGGAAAGGGAGGGGGTAAGGGTGCCCCCGAAACCCCCTGGGAAGATTATGAAACTAGCTAGTATCTTCATCAACTTCACAATCTCTATCAATTGTATCACAGGGGTTTCTTTGGGTTCCCTTTTTCCTCAATCCCTTTATTTCCCCATTCTGTTGTTTCCCCCCAGAAGTGCCCAAATCTGCCATCTCTTTGTCTTTTAATTTTAATATAGTAGTGCCCGACTTTTTGACTTTCACCTTTTGGGAATTCTATTTTTTTTCTACTCTGGAATTTCCCGAGTCCATTTTTTTGGGGAATTTTGGCTCATAGCGTATCTATATAACTTCTTTTTTTAGTGCCATGTCTGTACCCGTCTTGGGATATGAAAAACAATTTATCTGGTTTAAATTTAAATTAGATTTGGTTTTGTGGACTATCCCCCTGATATCGTTTCTTATAAGCTGTTTCTTTGCAATAGCATGACCTTTTTTTTGGAATTTATCCCTTTAAAGCCTTAATTCCTCAGCCAGCCGAAAGGGTGGTATTTGGAGAGCTGTCCTTTATAAAGGCAAAAAGGATCCCGCAAAGTGTCCCAAATCTTTATCTTCCCTTTGTAATATTTTTAGGGAAAAATTTTTTTTCCCACCCCTTCTTTATCTGGGATTTTGGCCCAAAAATTTTCAGAATTTATTAGACATTTTTTCTGAAAGTCTAAGGATGTGTAATTCCTGCTGCATTTTTTAAAACCAATGGCACAGTTTGGTAGTAGCAATAATGTTGGATATAGACAGACAAAGAATGAAAAAGGTTCAGCCATCTAGTAAAAATGCAGCCCAAGATCAACGTATATGAGATTTTATAGCACCCCAATCTGGGAGGGGCGAAAGGAAGACTAAGAAAGAGTGGGTTAATAAGTAGCGAAAAAATGCTAAACGTACAAATCCCACACCAAGAGAAAAACCATGACACGGGCTATAAATGGTATCATTGAGACGACAAAGAAGAAAAGAAAAAGGAGAGAAGAATGAGCTAAAAGAATTCATTTCAAATTCTGTACTTGCATAATTCGAGTTTTGGTCGTCCCAGCTAAGTTTAAACTGTAGGGAGTAATAAACACTATGTACTTTCAGTAGTGTGCCATTGCTTTCCATTCAGTTCAGCACTCAAGTCATTGACATACTCAAGGCACAAGCCACGTTGGTTTGATGCTGACAAAAAACCTGTGGCTATAATCGGAACTGGATATCTTGGAATTATGATGAAACTGTCCCCTAAGCCACATAAAACTGGCAGCTCTAAATTACTCACGACAACACCATATTGGACTCCAGATACAATGCAATTTGAGCGTGTCCACTTTTATTAAGCAGTGTCGCAGGGGTGTCAGGACCCTCTTCGTTTTCACTAAACAGTGGGGCTCCATGTTGGATCAGACATCTGAAAGGAGGTCAGCATGAACAGATAAAATATGGAGTTACTTCTGCTAATGTGAAGAGTAAATGTGAAGTGGTCAGCATGAATTAGTTAATGTGAAGTAAAGAATGTCAAAGTTAGTTAGTTAGTTCAATTCTGAAATTATCAGTGTCAAATTGTGAAGGCACTTTCTAACCCCCAATGGAGCACAGGCTCTCAACCAACTCATACCAAGTCATTCTATCCTTTGCTATCACATACAGCTCTACACATGTCCTACCAATCTTTTTAACATCATTCTCTAGCTCCCTTCTCCATGTGTGTGTTTTTTTTTTTTTTTTGTCTTCCTTATTGCTATTGTACCCCTGTGGGTTCCAATGCAAAGACATTCTAGCTATACTGTTCTCATATTTTCTTAACATGTATCCTATCCAACGCCAGCATCTTTTCTTCGGCTCTTGGGCCACTGGAACTTTAGTTCTCTCCCAAAGCTCTACTTTAGTGATTCTATCATACCATTTAATTCCCTCTATTTTGCACAGGCACAGTTAATGAATGTTTGTAGATTAAAGTAGTAAATGATTATAAAGTGGTCATAACTCACACAGGACTGCAGGTTATCCATGGCTGGTGCAGATGTTACAGGTGCTCTAATTATAACTTCTCTGAAGGCTGAATGTGGTATCTGGGATCTGTCCTGTTGGTAACAACCCGGAGGGGACAAACTGACTGATCAGCTAATATACATCCACAGACACACACATATATTTACTGAATGGTTCGATGTGCAATGAGGATAATCTGTCAACTAACTAACTAACTAACATAGCTGTCAGATGTACAATATGTCCATACCTCTACACATTTAGCCAGGCCTGATGCAGCTGCATAATGTAAGGCTGTGTTGAGTTTCTGTGGTAACAAAGACAGAGATTTATACCAAAAGGTGTCCATGCTAGGGACACAGAAGAGACAGAGACAGAACAAACAAACACAGGGGTTTATACCAGAAGGTGTCTATGTTAGGGACACAGAAGAGATAGAGACAGAACAAACACAGGGGTTTATACCAGAAGGTGTCCATGTTATGGACACAGAAGAGATAGAGACAGAACAAACAAACACAGGGGTTTATACCAGAAGGTGTCGATGTTAGGGACATAGAAGAGACAGAGACAGAACATACAAACACAGGGGTTTATACCAGAAGGTGTCGATGTTAGGGACACAGAAGAGACAGAGACAGAACAAACAAACACATTTTATTTTCAAAGGGTTACAAACTGGGCACACAAACCTATCTTAAATTTAGCCCTTTTAAACACTCACTTTCACACAGCCACTGCATTTAATCAATACAGCAGGTTATGATCATAGCAATTTACATAACATGAATTTGAAGTAACAGCACAAAAGCATGGACAACAAATGCCTACATTCAATTAAACATACAAACAAATATCCATCCATTCATTCAACCAACCAACCAACCAGCCAGCCAGCCAGCCAGCCAGCCAGCCAGCCAGCCAGCCAGCCAGCCAGACAGACAGACAGACAGACAGACAGACAGACAGACAGACAGACAGACAGACAGACAGACAGACAGACAGACAGACAGACAGACAGACAGACAGACAGACAGACAGACAGACAGACAGACAGACAGACAGACAGACAGACAGACAGACAGACAGACAGACATGCAAACACACATACATATTTACATGTATAATCATATTAAGAGAGTATAAAAGAAGAGTACACTTCCCCATATCGCCTTTCATCTATCCCTTGGTGCTATTTTGTACCGTTGCCCACCTCTTGTCTGCCTACATTTAATTTTTCCCTCCAGTGTGGTCTTTATGGTTTTTACAGAGGAGTAAGCTGCATTCTCTCTCAATTCCTTTTTAATATAAATGCTAAAAATATTATGAGAAATGCAATTAGGGAAAAAGCCTGCAAACCTATCCTGAAACTTAGATATGCAGATGACACAGCTCTCCTTTCTGAATGCGTACAGGGCTTGGCAACATTAAGTTTGAATGTCAAAAAGTACAGCGAAGAATAGAATCTTTTTTTTAATTTAAAAGAAAATGTTCCTAATGAATTCAGCACAACAACCATATACTGAATGTAGAATTAAGAATCACAGCACTTGAAACACTCCCATAAGTGCTCCGTCCCCATCTTCAGCAGCAAGCTAAGAGTTTCAATTCCGATGGCACCAGTAACCATCTGATTGTAAATTAGTCTTATCCATCCCCTGAGTGTTGAGCTTTGGCCAGATCCCCTGCTAACTCGAAAAACCATATATTATCATTGATAACAAAGAGATTTAAAATGTCACAGATTTTATTATTTGAGCTTAATGGTGAACAATGGCAACTGTATAAAAGAAGTCAGAAAAAGACTTGCTTTAGCAGTGCAGAGGCCAAAGAGCATGAAGAACCTATGGCACAGCAGCTGCAAGAGGGTTAAAGTAACAATGTCTTTAGCAGTGCAGAAGCCTAAGAGCATGAGGAACCTATGGCACAGCAGCTGCAAGAGGGTTAAAGTAACAATGTCTTTAGCAGTGCAGAAGCCTAAGAGCATGAGGAACCTATGGCACAGCAGCTGCAAGAGGGTTAAAGTAACAATGTCTTTAGCAGTGCAGAGGCCAAAGAGCCTGAGGAACCTATGGCACAGCAGCTGCAAGAGGGTTAAAGTAACAATGTCTTTAGCAGTGCAGAGGCTAAAGAGCATGAAGAACCTATGGCACAGCAGCTGCAAGAGAGTTAAAGTAACAATGTCTTTAGCAGTGCAGAGGCCAAAGAGCATGAAGAACCTATGGCACAGCAGCTGCAAGAGAGTTAAAGTAATAATGTCTTTAGCAGTGCAGAGGCTAAAGAGCATGAAGAACCTATGGCACAGCAGCTGCAAGAGGGTTAAAGCAACAATGTCTTTAGCAGTGCAGAGGCCAAAGAGCCTGAGGAACCTATGGCACAGCAGCTGCAAGAGGGTTAAAGTAACAATGTCTCTAGCAGTGCAGAGGCCAAAGAGCATGAAGAACCTATGGCACAGCATCGGTAAGAGGGTTAAAGTAACAATGTCTTTAGCAGTGCAGAGGCCAAAGAGCATGAGGAACATATGGCACAGCAGCTGCAAGAGAGTTAAAGTAACAATGTTGAGATCATGCATTTTTCCCAACAACTAGCAACTGATGGATGTGAGTTATGGGCTCTTACTCCTTCTTAAAGGAAACAAATAGAGCTTTCTGAATAGCATGGACCAAGAAGAAGAAAAACATCCACATCCTACACGATCCTACACAGTAAATTCCGATGGAAAGTTCTGGTTGTTCGTCCACTTCTGGACTTTCTTGGACTTAAGTTTAGCATGCAGGTTTGTTTTACAGACCTGGCTTATTGTATGCAGACTGCTTCTTTACAAAATCAATTAAGTTCAATCAGTTGGAGGTAATCATAACACTGGACAGAAGATGTCAGAGATTAAGAGCAGGATAGGCCCAGCAAACGCCGCATTTCAGAAACAATAATTTAAGTAGTAAGTTACTTTTACTGGACATCGTCATTACATTCTTACTAAGTTCAGAATACCACTCTTAAATTGTTATTCTTCTACTCATATTCGGTCACTATTCCACTCTTACCATTATTATTACACTCTTAAATGACATTATTTCCCTCTTACCATTATTATTACACATTTAAATGACATTTTTCCACTATTACCATTATTATTACACTCTTAAATGACATTATTCCACTCTTACCATTATTATTACACTCTTAAATGATATTTTTCCACTCTTACCATTATTATTACACTCTTAAATGACATTATTCCACTCTTACCATTATTATTACACTCTTAAATGACATTATTCCGCTCTTACCATTATTATTATTACACTCTTAAATGACAATATTCCACTCTTACCATTATTATTATTACACTCTTAAATGACATTATTCCACTCTTACCATTATTATTACACTCCTAAATGACATTATTCCACTCTTACCTTGTCATTATTTCACTTTTACAATGTAATTAATATATTCTAACCATTACTTCACTCTTCTTTTTCTTTTGTCAATTTCTGCTTATGCCGCTAGGCGTCGCAGTTCATCAGTTGATCAGCAGCCGAGCCAGGGTGCGCACAGTCGCTTGATATGCCGTGATGTTATGCAGTCTCAAGGTGTCAGTGATTCCTTCAATCCACCATCTTCTCAGTCTTCCCCTGCCTCTTGGTGTTTTGATTTTCAGGTTGTACGATCTTGCTGGTGCCATCATTAGTTTCATTCTCATCAAATCCTTTCATTCTTTGTTTTTCAATTAATTTGATGATGGGTGATGTTCCAAGAGTTTTTGTGATCACGTCGTTTCTCAATCGATCTCTTCTGGTTTTATTCACAGCCATTCTCAAACATCTCATCTCACAGGTGGTTAGTTTTCTCTCGTGTTCTTTTGTCAATGTCTGACACTGGTAACCTAAGTCGGTATAAATATTGTATTTATAATTTGTTTTGCTTTTTACTCTCTTAGGATAGCAGGGTGTTTTAAAATAGGAGCAAGTTGGTACATGACACTGTTGGCTTCTTGTTTCTATCTCTCGGTCTATTTTACCATTGTATTTAAGTAAGCTTCCCAAGTATTTAAATTCTTGCACTTGTTTCAGACTTTGATCTTTATGTCGATGGTTTGTTGCTCTCTATTTATTCTCATGACTTATGTTTTTTTATTCAATATTGATCTTCATGTGATGTTTAGGGCAACTGTCGTGTAGCTGGTTTATGTGGTCTTGCAACTGTTTACTTTCACTGTGAAATATGCATTAATCGACGGCAAAGAGCAGCTCATTGAAGTCCTTCTGTTTATCCACCTGGGGTGGTGTTATGTCTATTTGATTAATATTGTCTATAAATATTATAAAAAGTAAAGGTGAAAGAACACACCCGTGCCTTACTCCTGATGTTACTGGGAACCAGTCTGTGATGTCAGCTCTTGTATTGACTGACACTCATAGAAAGAAGCAGAAAGAAAGAAGGACACACTAGACTGTCCTTCTTTCTTTCTGCTTTGTTCTATAAGTGTCAGTCAATACATTTTCTGTTTATTATATATACAATATTTCTACACCTCAAGGGTTCATCCTCTGTTTATTTATGTGAAAGCCAAAAAGTTGCAACTGGAATTAAACCAGATACCTCAGAATTACAAAGTGTGTTCCAATGCCTGTTAATATTCATCATCATCATCATCATCATCAGTTTCCACTTCTGCCATTATGCCATTAAGCATTGTGGGGAGGAACAGTTTGCGATCCATTGCTTGATACAGCAATGGCTACTGTCATTCCGTGTCAATGTAGAAGCTCTTTAATGAGATGTTAATATTACTCCTGTTTAATGCAGAAAGAGAGCAAAGCTGAAACACAAATAGCAACAACAGTTTTAAAACAAAACAAAAACAAATTAACCCCTCCCCCCCCCCCCCCCCCCCCCCTTTTCCAAAACAGAAGTGAAAAACAACAGTTTAAATCTCACTTCATCCTGAGCTGCGAGATCAACCTTCTCTATCTGACCCTCAGCCAGAGTTGCCCCACGCCACTTCAGCAGGTAACCCAAGCAATCAGCTCTCCGCTTGTCCACGTGGATTGACTGGGCATTAGTCTCCATACAGACACAATGAAGACATGTTTCTTTCCTTGCATTCGTTTTCTTGGGATTTCCTCCTTTTGAAAACAGAAATATTCTGAAAAGTAAATCAAAACTTGTGAAAAGTAAATCAAAACTTTAGCAAATCACTGTCTTTCTGTGTTTACCATTGTTTACGGGATGCAGGTCCAGTTCTGTGGTTTAGAGATTAGGAAACACGGTTAACAATTCATGATCCTTGAGTACAAGGGTTCAATTCCTGACGGCTGTGAAAAAAGTTGTCAAAGTTTCCGGTCAGTATTATGAAAGTTGCACCATGGAAGAGATAAGGGTCTTACCAGGTAAGTTTTCTAAAGATAACAGTGGTACACTGAAGCCAGCCTTAATCATGAAAACAGCACAGAATTGATTTTTTTTACTGAGGGGATGTGGATGGGAAAAAGAGGGGAGAGAGGAAGGGCTGGTGCCTGGGGACTTTGGCAACCCTGGTTAGTGAAATTGCTGATATACAGAATATCAGAAAATTTTTACATATGCAACAAAGTCAATGATCAATGTTTAGTCATCAAAGAAAATACACACATGCCATGCACAACTAGTAAAGTGTATAACAAGGACCTTTTTCATGTCTTGGATGGCGCAAGCTGAAGACACAATTAGACATGTGTGCAGGCTTGATAAATTTAGGCCAGGAGAGGAGTGGGTCAAAGTTTCATGTTTCAGACTTGTGTGGGGTTCTAATCACTTTCGGACGTGAGTGCAGGGACTGGCCAACTGGTGCTGCAGAATCAGAAGTTCAACAAATGATTCATGACAATTCCAGTCCAGTCCAGGGCAGACGAAGTGCATGGGGGTTCATAGTGAAGGGGAATGGACGTCACTTGGCGCAACAAAGCCTGGCATATGATATCACAACGTCTAGTTTGAGAATGAAGGTGGAGGCAGTCACTGCTGCCTTCCGTCGGCTTGAGAATCAGCTATAGACACATGTTGTCATTGTAACTGACTCACAGAGCATGATGAGAAAGGTGGAAACAGGCATGCTCTGTGCAGAGTGGCAAGCATCACTTCAGAGGTCTTGGGTAGTTAGCATCCTTTGGATATTTTCTCCAGGTACGCCGGTGTGTTGGGAAATGAGCAGGCGGATAGACTGACCGGTTCTGCACCACTTGGTGGTGAACTGATATATGACAAGCTGGATGTTGTGAGGGCCCTGGGGGGGGGGGGGGGGGGGGGCGAGTGAACAATGCTGAGGAACAGATAGATCATTACGGTCTGAGGAGAATGGCACTGCGAGGAGTTATAAGGGGATCTGGCCGACGCTCGGCACTCAGGAGAGGGGCGAGATGGATATACAATCAGACTGTTACTGGTACCATTGGAATTTTAACTCTTCGCCTGCTGCTGAAGATGGGGATGAAGCGCTTATGGGAGTGTCCCGAGTGCTGTGATGTCGATTCTTAATTCAACATTCAACATTCATGTCTTTGGTACGTAGGACATATAGACCAATCAGCATTTGATGGGTGATGAGGCTATCTGGCTGGCGTCCTTTACTTCCCAGGACATTACCTGATAATATTTTAATCAAACTGACCTTTTTTTGTTTTTTTAAACCCAGACCTTCTGGTCAACAGGTGAGCAACTAGCCAGCGTGTCCCAAGCAAAGTACAGAAATAACATTTCAAATCAGTGGGTCGAACGAGCATTTCACAGGGGTCCCCCTAAGACCATCAGAAAACACACATACATTGAAGTTATAAAGTAACAACGAAAATAATTTTATGGTTGGGGGGTCAGCACAGCATGAGGAACTGTATTAAGTGACCACGACTTTATAAAGGTTGAGAACCACTATTTTAAACAGTTTAATGCCATATTTCTTCTTTTTCTCCATCTGCATTTATTCTTCAAGGGCAGTTGGTGCCTAGGCTGTTATATCTTTAAAAGCCCAAAATACGCACAGGGGTAATGTCATACAATATTAAACAGACTAAAATTTAACATTTTATCAACCACACTGGCAATATTTGGGAAAAGAACGGTGTAGATTAATTTGTATGGATCAAAGGAGTAGAAAATACTACTTGTTCAGTTAGTGGTCAAATGTATACCCAAAGAAATTAACAACAAAGTCAAACACAGAAAAAATATGTGTGGGGGAACCCCAATATTTGCCAAGTGTTAATGTTACAAAGAAGATACAAACAGACTGCACAATCTACTGCCTGGCATATTCTGCTGTATCTCATCAGTTGCACACTACAGTAACAAGGAAGCACATAAATTAAATCCTTCTAACTGAAATACAAAAATCAACCACATTCGCAAGTAACTGCCTGTTTTACCAGAGCAACAGCCATGTCTTTTTGTGTGTACAAAATTGGACAGAAGTGACTTATTGTGGTCACAGTAACTAAGAAAAGGATTCTGCATGTTAATGGTTTTTCCAACAGCCATGTCAAGAGTTTGTCAGGTAGCCAGGGTAATGATGTCCTTCCACATGTTAGTACTACCAAAGGTTATCCATAAATATCATCACTCTCTAAGCCAATGATTTTCTTGAACTTCACTGGTCTCCAAACTAATCTTTTTTCAATAAATGTCACCTTCTAACAAAAATTTGTTTTCATAAATTCCACCAATCTCCAAACTAATGTATGCCATAAATTCCACCAATCTCCAAACCAATATATGCCATAAATTCCACCAATCTCCAAACTAATGTATGCCATAAATTCCACCAATCTCCAAACCAATATATGCCATAAATTCCACTAATCTCCAAACCAATATATGCCATAAATTCCACTAATCTCCAAACCAATATATGCCATAAATTCCATCTCATTGTTAGAACAACAAGGAAAACAAGAGTATCTGTGGGCATGCCTGATGGCAGTGCTGTCAATCTCCAAACCAGTCATTTCCATAAATTCCACTTCTCTCCAAATCAATATTCCAAAAAAATGCCACCACTACCCAAGCCAATGCTCCAATTAATTTCACAGCTGACCCCACTCTTAAAGGCACCAGATCAACTCAGTCTCTTATCTTCTAGCACACTGAGTCTTTTGACTGCTATGCTATGATGTTTTCTTGTTTCGCTCCTCTCATGTCAGTGAGACATGATGAAACATGATGAATCTGAGCACTTAGTTGCTTTTAATTTGCTTCTGTGAAGCTTGAATATAGTAGTTTCATTCAACCAAGGAACTTTCAGATTATCTATATTTCTCAGTTAACTTTCATTTCTGATTTATTGTTTACACTTGTCAGTCAACTTTCACTTTTTGTTTATTGTTGATATTTGACAAACAACTTTCATTTCTGGTGTATTGTTTGTATTTGTCAGACAATTTTTATTTCTATTTTATTGTTTATATCTGTCAGGCAACTTTCATTTCTAGTTTATTGTTTATATTTGTCCGACAACTTTTATTTCCAGTTTATTATTTATATTTGTCAGAAAAACTTTCTTTCTGGTTTAGAATTTATATTTGTCAGACAGCTTTTATTTCTGTTTTACTGTTTATAAATGTTAGTCAACTTTCATTCCTGTTTTATTATTTAAATTTATCTGACTTTTATTTCTGGTTTATTATTTATAGTTGTGAACAGACTAATTCATCGCTGATTCTTTATATTTGACAGTCAATATTTACTACTGTTAACTGGTTATAATGTGAGAATATGTTTTATATTTGCCAATCAACGTTTACTACTGTTTACTGGTTATAAAAGGTGTGAATACTGTTTATATTTTCCAGTCAACGTTTACTACTGTTAACTGGCTACAAATGGTGAGAATACTGTTTATATTTGCCAGTCAACATTTACTACTGTTTACTGATAATAACTGGTGAGAATACCGCTTTTATTTGCTAGTCAACATAAACTCCCCAGTTAATTTTTTTTTTTGGTCAGACTTTCATTCCAGCAACTTTTGGGGAAAACAAAGGAGATGTAAACAAACTCAAATCAACTGCAACATTTGTAAAATATATTCAGACCAACATCTGAAGCTGTACAAAGATGAAGAAACCTACTTTAACATAATGTAATATCAACACAATGTAACATTAATATAATGTAATCTGAATAAAATACAGATATGGTGGTGGCAATATCCTAAACAAAACAAAAAGAATATGATTAAGAGAACTTAACTATTAGCAACAACAACAAAAACAAAAAATACAGTACAATTTCACCAACACAATAAGGAAAACTGAGTTAATTTTCTGGGGTATTTTTACAGAACGCTTGAAAACATGTCAGATCAACCGACTGCCTTGACTTGCTTTCTTGATTAGGCATAAACCTGAACACAAAATTTCGTCAACAAGATCAACTATTAATTCCCTGCTGTCTTATGTAAATACACAAATGTACATGGTCTAGGGTCTCAAAGTTATTTATCATTTACACGAAAATAAAAGGCTTTATACTGTGAAGGCTTCACGGAAGTGTAGTGGCTAGCACTCTTGCATATCAGCTCAGTGGTCAGATATTCAAACACCCCTCATCATCAATCAGCACATCCTTTACAGAACAACAATTTCGTCACAGCACACTTAACTACCTCTCTTTCCCTAGCCAATTCTCCAGCTCTATCTGCTTTCATAGCCAATGATCTTCACTGTCTTGTATCCACCTTCACAGAGCTACGCCTTTGCCTCATTTTTGGGAAACTGTACCCCCATCATGCTCTCTTCAGGCCATCATGGAATTTAACATGGTCTAAATACACCAGCTTTGAGGAAAGGATGCTGTTTATGAGCCAGTTCTCCTGGATGCTCAGATCAAGTAGGCTGTCAGTGTTTTCTTCTTCTTGGTCCATGGTATTCTAAGAATTTGTCTGTATTATTTCCGACACCTTAGCATAGTGGCTTAGGTGTTGCGAGCCTGACTCGTAATTATAACATACCCCGATCGAAACCCACTGCTGGCTGTGTAGATTTTTATCATGGTATGGGGCGTCGCAGGTCGACCTGGCCTAAAATGCATATCAGAATAAAGGTCCTGGGGAAGTAAAGACGGCCAACGTTATGCTGACCACTTTACCCACCTAGTGCCGATTGGTCTGTAAAAATATGGTGCTCTTCCCGATGCGCCTAAAAGGCATGAAAAGGGATCTTTACTTTACTTTTTACTTACTTTTTTTTCTCCAAAATCTCTGATATTTTCCTTTAATGAATTAGTAAGCGTCTATGACTCATTTCCATAAAATGCCAAGGAAAAGATGAAAATTCTCACAAATTTTTACTTTAACTCATTTAACACCCCTAATACAGGCTTTTTTCACCAAACAGATCTGATCTGATATTCTAAAATAGGTATCATTAAACCTTCTGGCAAATGAAAAACAGCCGTAATCTGGGTTTTCTGGGGCTAAGCAGTAAAGGTGTTTTGCCTTGTGTTCAAAAGCTCATGAGTTCATTTCACAGACCAAAAGCAGTTTAGTTGAGGTAACATGAGTCTCCACTCTAAATGGGCAGACACCATCTGGAAGTTGACTTATTTCCAGTGGCCACACACGTGTCAGATATTCTAGTGGCCAGAGTTGTGATTTCTATCAAAGATACGTCACCTTAGTGATTCTGTGTATTCTTGTTCATATCTGCGGTAATGTAGATTTACGTAATGTGCTGATGAAGACTCTCTAGCCGCAACATTTACTTTATGACTGTGATATTATGAAGCTGACTGGTTCCACTTTTTGTCTGGTTTGATACCTTTTCATGACCATTTTTTGCAAGCTGCACTTCTCCTCACTAACCAGATCTACACACCTGGATTTGCCAGTGTAAAAGGAAATAAGTGGGTGGATCAAGTGGCAGGTACTGCACCAAAATATACAGTAAGAAACATGGACAGATCTGTTATCATCAATGCCGTACAGACTGGGCTGACGAATAATGTCATAATCATGAGCCTTTGATGCTAACCCAACTAGTGACCTGGTAGTAAAGTCTGGTGAAGTACATCTATGTCATCTTTGAAATCATTAAAAAGACATTATAATCAACTTCTCATGAAATGACCAACTTTTGATATAGGCAATGAGCTTGCTTTGTGAATCAGTTTCTTTCAAGAAATCTTCATTACCCCTTTTATCTGTCCAGGGTACTCCTATCATCCGTTACAGAATCAAGGACCAAGAAAAGGAAAAACACACAGATATTCTTCCAGATCTGAGCACCAAGAGATATTGCCTGATAAACAGTATCATTTCTCAGAAACCTAAATACTTCAGCCACAAAGGGTTGCAAACGAACAATAATGGAAGGTATGGTTCTAGGACGAGTTTCTTGCAGGCAAACTGTGATGAGAGCGGCGTTCTGCATGATGACGGTTCTAGGAAAACAGGAAGCGATTGACCAGCACGATGGAAGAGAAGATGTCAAGGACATGAATGTTTTCAAGGCTGGAAAGTTAGCCGAGTGGCTTTTCAGCGTGCTGTGATCTTCTTCTTCTTAGCACTCACTAGCTGTTTAATTCCAGCGGAAAGTTCTGGTTGTTCGTCCACTTATGAACTTTAGTCCAAAACTTGAATTTTGTGTGGACATTTGTTTTACAGATATACTTATTAGTTCTGCAGACTGCTAGTTACTCACCTCCCAGGCAGATGTGTTCTGACTTTGGAGGGAAAACCCCTAATTAGTGGTCTTTTACAAATGCTTGTTAGGAGGCCCAGAGTCTATTCTTTATTTTTTTTTCCATCTCAAAATGGTGCCCTGGAAACCACACAGGGAGGCAAGTTGTGATAAGAACATCAATCTGCAGAAGACCTGCTTTTTTTTTTTCAAGTATCCAGAAGCCATGAGTTGTTAACCCTTTGACTAGGTAATATGGATATCGCAACCCTTCGGTCTTGATTGCATGATAAATACCATAAATGTGGGAGAAATGTGGCTTTTCTGTCTACCCCTGGGCATGAACCCGGACCACAAGGAGTTCGACACCCGGTCGCGGCTTAGTCAGGTTTAACCAACTGCGCTAGCGAGCCGGGCGCAAAAGACCTGATAAATGATGATGGTTTTATGTCAGATCAAATAGCAACAGTTATTTCACATGGACAAAAGACAAGAATGACCGTACCCAAGTAGAGTCTGCATCCCATGCTTTGCTGCTAGATGAAGGGGTGTCTCATGCTGATGTGAGTCCCCATATGAACAGTTGGGATCTAATGCTTTGCGCAGTTCACTGTTGCTGCGGTACAGCTCCAATGCCTGAACTTCATCTCCCGCTTGAAGGTGTTTTCGAAATTTTGAAGATGAACTTCCCATAGCTGACCTCTGTATATGTGTTTACTTGGATAAGGCTGACAGGTTAGTACTAGCTAAATGGCAGACATTCTGGGAAAATAAAAAGTTGAAATTAGTCACTGTGCTCAGTAAACAAAATGTTATATCATGGAAGACATTTAATTAAATTCATAATCTGTTTAAAGCACGACTGATCACTGGCATCATGAGAGCTAACAGACTTAAACTGTTGGAACATACTGAAAGATTGTCAGATGACAGAGAAAAAAAAAATTGTATACACAATAGACCACGAGGCAGACCAAGAAGACGATGGAGAGATAATATCCAGACAGACCTGCAAACACTTGGTGTCACCAAATGGAAAGAGAAAGCCAACCAGAGAGATGAATGGAGGCAGGTGATATCTGCAGCAATGAACCTCAAGGGCTCCGACTGCTGAAGAAGAAGAATAGTGTTATTTAATGACATTTCAGAACTGTAGCTTGTAGTCAGAAAATTTTGGATTCTTTCTAGTGTTTTTTCAAATTGTTTACATTTTTTTCAAATTTTGTTTACCATATCTTTTTTTCTATCACTCACTTATTCCTTCATCAAACTCAAGTACTCACTTGCATGCATGCACACATGTATGTGCATGCAGTATAGGTGCTAGAACCTGCAGGCTCAGGCTCTTGAACTCTCACCCTCTCGGTATTAGAAACTAATATGTCCAATTTTACAATGTAAAGAAATTCTCTTCAAATGTATCTGTTTATACATTTCATACTATTTCAAATATATTATTACATTTATGTACCATTCTGGATGTTATTATTCTCATAAACTAGGATTAGGCGGTTTATGCTTCCCCCTCCCCTTTTTGGACTAGAAATATGTATGGTAAGGAAAAGGGTAGCTGTTAAGATGACAGCATCATGCTTCAAGCCTTGGAACTGATGTTTATTCTTTCCTGTTAAGTCTGTTTATGCTATCATTGCCTGGTCTGTTTCACATTCTGCCTTCTGAAGGACTGTTTCTCTGTAGCTCTGTGGTGGATGAGGTTCTAGCAAACTGTTTCTGCTCTATTTCCTGAAATACCACAGTGACCTGTTATCCATCACAGGACAGATCTGCTCCCTTGGAATTCAAGCTAATACTGTTTCCCACATCCGCAATTTTATTGTTTTGACTTTGCCTGAAAGTACTTGGAGAACAATCAATGAGTCACTGAGTATTAGTCTGCTGTCCTTTGTATTCTTGGGTGATAAGGTACCACACTGCCACAAGAAGGGCAGTTGCCTCGGCTCTGTCGTTTATGTGTGTCACCTGATTAAAGAGAGTGTTTATTTGCTCTGATGATTGGATGATTTATATTCTGCTGCCTCCATTTCTGACTACATCTGCAGCACAGCCATCAGTACACACATTTAACTTATTTGCCCTGTAGGTTTCAGTGCGATGACATTCTAGTTAACTACTGTCAAGATTTCTCTGTATGTGGCTCATCCAGCACCAGCAACTTTTTCTCACACCTTGAGTCACCTCTTTATAGGTTTAATGTAGAAGCTAGCCTCGGGTCTCCAAATTGAGATATCTGAGAAACAAGGGACAACAAGGGGCAAAGTTTGCAAAAAGACATCAGCCCTTACAAATTTGAGTGGATCAGTCAGTTACCATGGTTTGGACATGAATGCAGAATGGGAGAGAATCTACCATCATAGAAGGCATGGGAGGCCAAGAATTAGGGAACCAGACTACCAAAGCGACCCAGGGTTCACTGAAAGACAACATCCGACAGTCCCTAACTGACAAAGGACTGGAATAAAACAAAACCAAAAAGAAAACTGCTGACAGATCTCTCTGGCAAACTTCTACACAACAAGGTAGAAGAGGACTAACTAAGTAATTAAGTAAGTTGATTCAATGGTGTTGTGCAGTTTTGTGAATAGTGCATTTGAGTGAGTGGTGACCTCGAGCTGGGAAAGAGACAAGGGGCATTATATCATTCAGCCTTTGTTAATGACTATGCACCCTACAGTCATGCAGTTCTTCGGCACTGAGAGAAGACATTGGGTCACAGAGTAAAGACACCATATATGACTTTTACATACTAATTCATGATGACCCAGTGTTCTGTGGTTGACTTTCACTGAGATGTTCAACCGATTTCAGTTGTTGTTGACTATGACCCAGCACCATGTAAATGGTTCTGGAGAGACAGCTGATCCAACTGTACTGCATGCTTATGAAGGTCATTAAGGTGTGGAGAAAATGATCAGGCAGGAATGATCAGGGTGTTCTGGCAGGAACTCTAAACTCAGAGGAAGAGTAGGACTGACATACAATCAGACTACTACTTGTACGATCTGAACTGGATTCTTTGCTGTCTGCTGAAGAGAAGGATGCAGCATATATAGGAGTGTCCCGACTGCTGTAATATTGGTTTTTGATTTAAATTAGCATATAATTAATCATGGTGCAGCAGCAACCAGCGAACAGCAAAGGTTACAATGGCAAAGCAATAAAGACAAGCTAGGAAGCTGAGTGTTACAAACACCTCTTCTAGTGTCTGAACTGCTACTTGCTGTCCATACAGGCTCACCTTGGCATTATAAGTCATCTTCATATTCATAATCATAGGATCTCAGTGGATCTTCTCTTCTTCTGCCTTTCTATCCCCCAATGGAGCATAGGCCCTCAACCAACTCACGCCAAGTCGTTCTATCCTTTGCCATTACATGGAGCTCTCTCCATGTCCTCCCAATCTTTCTAACCTCATTCTCCAGCTCTCTTCTCCATGTGTTTTTTGGCCTTCCTTTATTCCTATGCCCCTGTGGGTTCCAATGCAAAGACATTCTAGTTATGCTGTTCTCCTGTTTTCTCAGTGTGTGCCCGATCCAACGCCAGCGTCTTTTCCTCACCTCCTGATCCACTGGAGCCTGTTTAGTTCTCTCCCAAAGTTCTACATTAGTTATTCTCTCATACCATTTTATTTCCTCTATTCTGCGCAGGCACCAGTTAATGAATGTCTGTAATTTATTAGTAATTGCCTTCGTTTTGACTTATCCATGGTTGGTTGGTTTTTGTGGCTATGGTTTTTACAGGATGAGTTAGCCAACCTCACGCCCAACCCTACCCTTAGTCGCCTCTTACGACATGCCTGGTAGGGTGCAGTGTCACTATTCTTTGCTTCCCGTGAGGGCCCCGGTGACACACGGGCGATCTCAGTGGATGATGCATGATAATCATTTCTGTTAACAGATTACAAACCTCCTTTTTGAGGACCCATTTTGATGAACCAAGGAAGCATATTAGATTTAGAGATTTAGTATTCCCCCCCCCCCCCTTTTTGCCACCCAAGTGGAACATAGACCTTTGACCAAATTGCTAGCCAAATCACTCAGTTCAAATATGTTCTCTCATCTTTGATACTTACGCTGCTATTCTTTTCTCTATACGTTTCTGGGGTTTTTTTTAGCCCACTCTGTGGGTGCAATTGCAGTGACATTTTAGTTCTTCTTCTTCATTCACCTATAAAAGGGCAGTTGGTGAATTGTGTTGTGGTATATACATCCTTACGTCCTTGTTAGGACGTAATTTTTTTGTTATTTGAAGCCCCACTCTGGCTTTTGCCAGGGGCCACAATATAGGCAGGCCATAAATATGGCCAATTGTCTGAACGCGGTTTTTGGGACCTCTCCACGGTGATCCTCATCCACATGGTGGCACTTTGTGTCATTGGGTGTTTATCGCTTGTGTGATGTCCTGGTGGGGTAGAAAATCAATCAATCAATTGTGTTGTGGTATACAGCCAGGCTAAATATCTGCACCTTTTGGCACAACATATTCGATTTCAGCAAGTCCTTAATTTGTTCCCTTTTACAACTAGCTTGTTTATGGGCAGTGGATCTATTTATTCTGCTCTGTTCCCCAGAACTCAAATGAAGAACATTCTAGTTAGTTACTATAAGGCTGTCTATATGTGGTCTATCGGCGCTTCTTTGAATCGTTCCCCAAAATGGCGGCTTTAATATGATGTTGTTCAAAAGGGAGCTAAATTGGCCAATTTCTGGCCATAAAATATCCAAAAATATCCCAATGCGGGTCAGTTCTATTAAAAATATATGTGCCGGCTCCGGATAACGAAACAAATGGCTCTGACAGGGTCTCGGCGATACGGCGTTACTTGCCGACCTGCGTCTGCGAGTGTGCCTCACTGCCGAGCGTATCCCCCGCGCCGCTATGCGCGGCGCGGATGGGGGCTAAACTAGATGGCTGGGACTCACGAGCGGCAGCTACCGCATCTCCTGCATCTTCCTCCAATTACTGTACTCGTAAGGGCTCTCCTTGCAGATCCGGACGAGGGTTGGATGCGGGCTGGGCGTCTTAGTTCAGTTTAGTGGGAGTTCTCTCCCTTGGCCGCACTCGAAACAGTGAGCGGAAAAGTCACGAAACAAATGACATACTTACCTATCATCATACGGTTGCGTGTAAGGTTGCGTACGGTTGCGTTTAGGGTTGCGTAGTCATCATACGGTTGCGTGTAGGGTTGCGTAGTCATCATACGGTTGCTTGTAGGGTTGTGAGTCATCATACGGTTGCTTGAAGGGTTGCGTAGTCCATCATGCTGTTGCGTGTAGGGTTTGGGTTAGGGGTGTTGGTTAGGGGTAAGGTTAGGGTTAGGGTTAGCGTTAGGGGTAGGGTTAAGGGTTAGGGGTAGGGGAAGGGTTAGGGGTAGGGTTAGGGGTTAGGTTTAGCGTTAGGTTTAGCGTTAGATGTGACAATTTTGACGACGCAGGAATTCCCAATAATCGCGCACTGTCACATACACACCCAAAAAGTCGACGGACTGTGGATGCTACTGACACGGACACGTCGCCACCGGTTGGGCACCAGCTGCGCGCTATTGCGGTCATATTTGACAGACTTCCAGTGGCGCCACTCCCACAAGCATCAGATTGTCGGCCAGTATTTGGAACTCCTACGTCAAAATTGTCACATCTAACCCTAACCCTAAACCCTAACCCCGAATCCACACT